ACACTTCTCCACAAAACCAGTTCACATCAGGGTAATCGTCGTTGTCCACGCAGGCGGTGCACATTTGCAATTTTCCTTCGACCTTTCCGCAATACCTGCAGTGCTTCACAGGAAGCAGCACGTCTTCGTCCCACCTTCTGATCCTTCCCCTACGCATCCGCGAGATGTACGGATCAAACAGCTTTTGAGGGGATTTTTTTATCATGTCGTACTTCATCAAAGTCAAGTCCTGGCGTTGAGAGTCGCTGCACATTGGGATGACTGTTAGCTTTAAATTATGTACATCCTTGGCCACAAAATGTGTAATAGCGAGTTTTGTCTCTGAAGGGTAGTAGTGAGGTGGAGGTTTGTAGTTTTTAGGGATTGATATCAGCTTTCTGATTTCGTAAAGCAAGTAAAGGATGACACCGAATTTATGCCATCCTTTTGCAGATTGTATTTCCACTCCAAACAGACAATCGTAGGCGTTGTCGAGAGCGTCAAGTTTTTTCCTTAGTTGTATAAATTGTTCGGCCAGACTTCGGGAACTGTTGTCAAAGTATAAAAAAACAAGCTCAACCATTGAACTTATAGTTAATAGGAAATTTTTCACTTTGCCAGCGTTCGGCAAATTTAAACTCTCAACTGTGGAAGCTTCAACGAGAGAAAAGTGTATCGCTTTAAACCAGCTCACAACTGTCAGCGTCCAGGGTACTGATATTTCATTAATTTCTTGCTCCACTGTCTCGTTACATTCACACGATTTAACACGGCCCATTTGGTTTATAGCATTGAGTGAAGCGTTTGCAAGTACATTAGCAAAGGCCACTAATTTAGCAATTATAAAGTTTAGCGGATTTTGCAAGACTCTCACCAAAAAACAAATTTCGGCCACTTTATGCGTGAACACCGATTGCGGCTGTTGATAATTTGATTTGGTTGATCCATCGCTGTTATTTGCCAGCATTGCATCCTCTGGACGAGATTTCCAAATGTCGTAATCGGTCGTAAATATATTTACTAATGTTTGCAAAAACATTTCATTGAACTGGCTTGGCAGAATATCAGATTCTTTGCGGTACATTTGCAAAAACGGAGGCAGAACGTAGAAGACAAAGCTCCACGACGGGTACATATTGCCTTCAGTAACGTCTTTTAAAATCACTTCCTTTAAAATGACCAACCTGCTCTGAAATAGGTAGACAAGAAAAATAAATTAGTTTCTTAACACGAAAATCTTTTAATTCGTTCTTACGTAAAATAATTAATAAACAGCTAATGCACTTTAAAGTATTTCATTTCTTACCTCTGGTGAATTAACTGGAGTACTTTGAGTTATCAAATCTGTCAGGATATTTGATGAGCCATCCCACTGATCCATTAATTTTCGGTCCTTTTTTCGCAATTTTTCCTCTCCAAAACTTTTTGTTAATGCAATAAATTCTTGGAGTTCTGTGTCGCTCAATTTGAAATGAAGATAATCCTCGTCGGAAATGCATTTAGCGTATAGATGTGAAACAATAGTTCGATGTTCTTCAAGCAGCAAAGTGTACAGACAACTTTTGATGAAGAGTCTCTCGTGGTCGTAGCAATATTTTGTGTTCAGCTTATCAATATTCGCTTTTGTACAATTCATTTTAAAAAATTCTAAGCAGGCTTTTTCCATGTCAGTAGAAATATTCCTTCCTGTATCTGATAGGCCAGAAAAGTGGAATTGAAGAGCGCTAACGACAATATCATTTATTTGATCTTCTAGCATTGAAATGTCATCCACACTAGGATAAGTCTTGCTCTCATTGATTTTCGATTGAAGCTCATCAATTTCTGTCTTCAGCGTTCCGAAAATATTTCCTCTTGTTTGAGTCCAGAATTTGAAAGAAGTAAAATTATCAAAATTGTCAACATCGTCTAATAACGTGAAATTTTTGGTTTGAATATAAACGTCTTTTCCAAAGTTTCCTTTTTTTCTCGCAGCTATGACAGCATATGGTAATTTTTTGATGAAATTTTGGGTCTCCTTATCCTCTAGTAAAACTCTCAGAGACGCTAATGATTGGGTAACAATTTCATCTTTGACGAGTTTGTATACTCGCTGATCTATCTCAGGATAAATTTCTACTTGGTGCCCTATCAGCAGGAAGCCATAGCTGATTCTTCGCCTCAAATCCCTCAGGAACACTAACAATTCCTTGACAACCGGCTCCATCTGCAGCGGTATTGGCATGTATCGGAGCATTGACGTTTGCTTTTCAAACCTCAAGACAACACTGAGGGCCGCCATCAACCACTGATTTAGCAGGACAGGGTTAACATGAAGCTGCCACAAGACACCTTTGCAAAACAAGTAGTCTTCAGGCTGACATTTATCGTCAGAGAAACTCTGTCTGTTGTTTTCTTTGTAGGTGAGAGCTATGTTGCAATCCTTGATGAAAACTCTCCAGCTTCTCATATATGAGAGGTCGCCGTTTCCGTCTAATACACTGATGAACTTCCAAAATTTAAGTCCTGTGACCTCAATGTTAAAGACTAGTCTTATTGCTGACATAAGCTCATGTACTATATCGGCATATTCTTTGGTGCTTTCTGTACCACCAATTCCATCGTAAAATTCTTTTCTTAAATATTCTGGTGCGGAAACTTCAAAAAGCGAATAGTAGCATTGATCTACACTGCCCTGTTTGGCCAGAAGAAATTTCGCTAGAAGTCCATGTTTGTTGTAATCGGGACCAGAATTTCCAGTTTTGTCCTTGAATTTGGCCCATGGAAAATCCGATATCATATTGTTGTATCTTTTCAAAATTCTCATGTGGTCATCATCTAAAATATAAATAAAATTTTAGTACCGGTTTTTAAAGTATTAGGAAATAATTTTAATTTAAAATTTTGCGAATTAAACTGTTTTAATTTTCAATGTTTATTATTATTATTCTGTTAAAATTTAATGGTTCCATTTAATTAAAATAACAAACACTGTTTTTACAATTTTTTGTGCAATATGAGGTTTAAGTTTTAATAATTTTGATTATTACCCACAATAAAATTAAAATAATAATACAAACCAACGTGTTCGTGTTCATAAGAGGTGGGGATCGTCAATGCTATGCATGTAGCAACACCAGGTTGCATTACTCTTAATTGTTCTAGGTGCCACCTGCATATGCAAATGAGATCTAATTCATCTAATTCACTAATGTTGAGCATTGTACAACAGCTTGGCGCCTCTGTAATAAATCCAAAACAATTAATTTTCTAACTATACACTAAAAATTATTTCGTTTTTCACTTCTTATTTGGTTTGCTAAATTTCAATGGCTTCAAAATCAACCATCGTGAACTTTTTAGCATGATGCTGCTAGTTAAAAATTAATTATCCACATCAAAACCAATTTTAATTTGAAACTCACTCACGGTATAGTGTTTATCCGAAGGAATAATTCCGAGCGCGCGCAAAGTCAAGTCACCCGACGCCGATTTTATATAGTTTGTGTTTGAATTGTTTCGGTGCAGCGAAGCATAAGCGGCATAAACATAAACAGCTTGCAAAACGTAAACAAAATTTGAATGCTGCTGCGCTGAGGGTGTTTTCCAAGGAGGTTTCCCTTAAACTCACACTTCAGGGCCGCCCAGGGCATCTCGACGATCCTAGAGGGTGATTTAATAGCGGCCTCTAACGAGGGCCCGAGCAAGAAGTTCTTGGGCCCGAGATAATGCTATTTGCAGCGCTATCTATAGTGATTGTAGTTTTTTACTCTCCATATTTATGAACACCAAAATGTACACATAAATTTTTATAACCCCGCGGCAATAATTTTTGTTCTAAGCGATTTTGCAATTCATAAGTTTGAGTTATACAATTACACTTCATAGAAGTTAAAATATTATATTTTTTAAATAAATTGGGAATTGTGGAAAAATTAAAGAAATTAAAAATCAAAACTTAAGCATAATACCCTTTTCTAGTAAAAAATTCTAATTTAAATCTCTTTTCACGTGTCCCAACTTGTGAGCAGAAGGGAGACTGCCGCCAGAAATCGTGCTATTTTTTCTAGTGAGCGTCAGTCAAATATAAATCGCACCTGAAGCAACACGTTAAAAGTTTGTATGTTCGCGAATATAATTTCAACTTGGCACAAACTACCGCTCGTTGTGCTACACGAACCCATTCACCAGCAAACGGAGGCGTTGCTTCCGCAGAACGCTAATAAGGGTGCATAATAAATCTGATCGCTGCGACGACGCTGAGCCCAAGGCTGTTCTCTGTGTAAATCATCACGCGCGCCTAAAACGCATTCCGCGATGCGAGCCAAATTCCAGTGGCTTTAATCGCACACCCCATCTGAATCTAATTAGCACTGAAGTCTTAAGGGAAATTATATTGCTTTAATTAAAATGCTTCAAAATCTTCAGCTCTATGATCCAAAAATTACTAGTAAAACTATAAAACCAAAAGGTTAATGACGGACGTAGAATATCGCGGAATAATTAAATTTTACTTTTTATTTGATTTAATGGGTTTTATATAAATTCGGATCTAATTACTTTAATTAATTAAACATTTAAAAAATGAATCTAATATTTATTATATTTTAATCTGAAATTCTCATCTACAATTGATGTTCAATTTTTTCAGCGAACTTCTTTGCTCTTTAACTTTCAAATTAAAGTTGTCCTTCATTGCCAATGATTCACGCTTGTTGAAGTCAAGGTCCCTTTTTCCATCGCCGTCTGTTTTCGATTAGCACAATGGGAAAATGCGCGTCTGCCGCCGGTCGTTTCCGCAAAATAGCTCCTCAAGACGAGAAACTCGTCAGATTATTATTTGCACATGTGCGTTCACTTGAAACTTCTAAAGCTTTTTAAGAGGGAGGAAGAGAAAGGTGCCAAAAATTTGTCCCCCGTGACTTTCATTTGTCTGTTAAGATTTTTCTAGACAAAAATATTCTAGGGTTTTTTTATAGGAAATTTGTAAAATTACATAATAATTCTAGGAAAATAAATTAGAAACTGAAATAAATGTAGCCCCAATTTTTTTTAACATTACTATTTATTTTCGGAAAATTTTGTTTATTGCAAATATACAAAGAAACTTTCTGCAAAATTGAAATTTTAATTAAATCAGTGCAAATGACTATTGAAGATTTTCTTCTACCACCAAAACCGTTCTCGCATTTCTAGTAGGAAACCAGGGCGAGCAGCATGCGCCTGTAGTGGCCCAGAGTGTCACCCTGTGTGCAGAAATCACTTTTAAAAATTGCTTGTTCAGAAATTTGAAACACTCACCTCAATCCATTTCTCTAGGGTCTGTCCGTACTGAGCGAGGTACTCCTGTTTAATATCACCGAGGTCGATTTCACTGCGGCTCACAACGATTCTGATCAGGGTGTGATCGTCCGTTCCGAGACCTTTCATCGACTCGTACAGTCGTCGCGCGAAGTAGGCCGGGCGTTTTCGCACAATGCGAACTGAAAACGTATAATGTTTAATTATTTTCGGTTTTATTTTTTAATATATAAGCAGCATAGAAGTTTAAAAAAACTTATTTATAATGTAAGCTGAAGCTTTAAAACTTTTCTTTTATTGTGTTCATTTTAAGTAAATTTGCAAAGATAAAAGAGAAAAGAAGAATTCAAAATTGATATATCAAAAACAAAAATTTAATTAATGAAATTTGAGATTAAAAAATGTTAAAAATAAACTTTATTTTTTTGAGATTAGATTATTATTCTAGCATATTGTTATTTAAAAATTTCTTTTACTATTTTAACAATTTCTTTTACCAATGCTGAGGAAGCCTTTGCGGAGTTTGCCGGAGAAGTGTTGGTCGATGACGGCCTCAATGTCGCGGCCGGTGACGCTGCGGAAGACGCGGAACATGAGGCGCAGGTGGGCGAAGCTGCGGGACGCGAGCACCGAGGCGAAGACGGACTCTTCGGTGGCCCACTCGCTGGCCCCTGCGGCAGGTCGGTTTGAGCTGCACGACAGATTTTCGCCATGCAGGCCCTGCGGCCAGAACACCTCTGCGCGTGCAGCCCAAAACACACGACACACGTTCTTTGCATTCCAAAATAGACGCTTTTTTGTGCAAAGTCGGTGATTTTTAATTAAAATTGACATTTAAATTTAATAACATTTGTTTTTTCCTCCTGACTTATAATTTGAAGCAAAAGCGTCTCATATTTAATTTTTAGGAATTTTCAGGAAATAGGAAATCGAATAAGAATAGAATATGAATAAAAAATTATCAGTATTTACCGGCTGCAGCAAGGGCAAGTGCGTCATCTCTAACAATCTCCTCATTGACGACATCACTTTCATCCCTGGAAGCCTGTACATTTTTCACAATAATATCTTGATTAGGCTTGGAAAAAAACAGGTTTTATCCCGCGAAGAATATACATATATATTTACCACAAATTGAGATAGATATAAAAAATAGAACAATATCACAAACTTCAAGTCTAGAAGTTACTGAATACTAAATTTGTGTGCTTCAAAAAATTTTTTCAAATTTTTGCAAACTAAAATTACAAACTTTGTTATTGTTATCTGATTGGAAATATTAAATTTAATAACCAATCTAAATCAGTAGCTATCTAACAAAATCACCTTTAAAAAAATGTGTTTTGAATTTTGTGAGAAAATTACTATTGGAGCTCATTTAAAATTTCCACTTAAATTAAATAATTTTCAATTTTCCTCGAATATTTAAAGTTTTAGGGACATTTAGAAAAAATCATTTACCGAGCAAAGTCTGACCAGCAAGTTTCGGAACTCTCCTGAGGAATCGTTTTTCAGATCATGCTCCAACGAACGTCCATACACTTGAATATAAAAAAAATCAAATATTTTTTTTGCTTTTTTTATTTAAATTATTTAGTTTACTATTCTCGTATTCAGTGGCGACATCGATTACTCCGAAGTTGCTGAGCGACATGAGCACCTCGACCAGGGATTCTTCATCAGTGAGCAGACCGGAAACGGCCTTTCGCAGCTCGACGGCGTACAACTGACTGATCGGGGTCATCATGGCCACGGTCACGTTCTCCATGTGCCCGGTCAGGTCTTTCTTCAGTCGCCCCACCAAGTCTGTGTCGTAAAGTTCCTTGTAGACTTCGGCGATTTTGAGGCGCTGGCTGACGGTGCGATGGGCAAGGATATCAATGATCGCGTCCTCGTTGGTGCCTTGGCCGCACATTGCCGCTTCCAGTGCGGCAGCGTCGCTGTTTGGGTCGAAACCCTTATATTCCAGCACCGTTGGAACACACTTGAAATTAAAATAATTTCAAAATTGATCAAAAGATTTAAAAAATGCAGTTGTAAATCAAATTTTCATTTCCTATAACTTTAAAAATGGGACAATTTTTATTAGTTGCACATTCAGTTGAATAATGTGTTTCGTTTATATATTCAGCTAGTTTTTAATTCAATTTTACAAAAATCGAAGTTACATTATTCGCCACCTTAACTCAGCATTGTTGTGAATAAACGATTTTAATTTTTAAAAGAGATCTTAATTATTTTATCTGGATTTGTTAGAAAGAATCAAAATTAATAATTAATGTTTAAAACATTCCAAATTTTCTTACATTTTGAGTGGCGTATCTGTGATGAGGCATTTTGCTGTTGCAGGTCTGCGTCTTGGCACCTTTGGCGAGCTATTGAGACGCCGACTCAGGGCAATGCCATTTTATCGGCGCCCGAAGGACCACCAGGCGACTCGAAATCGCTGCTCAAATGCCGATAACGCTCGGCAGCACTTAACATGCATTGCGCAAAGTTGTTTCTCAAAACAACTGTTCTTCTTGACATTTTGCCGCAGAGCTTGGGAAAAAGTTCAGTGGATATAAATTGCCATGTCTGCTGTTGAATCTCATACGGAAAATAAAATAAAAAGAGGAAAGAAAGAAAGAAAGGGTTTGGAATGAAAAAGAGATTCGCACATCCAATTTATCTTTTCGGACTGGCAGACACATCGTCAGTCGTTTCACTGGTGGTCCTCGGCAAACAAATTCCTCCACTTACAACCCGCCAAGACACGATTCTAAACATTGGACCGGAGCAAAAAACTGCTCACTTTGAACAATCTATTTCTGTCTCTTGAGAAAATCGGAATCGGTAGAACCTAAAGTTTCATTCCAGGAGAGAAAGGGTTGCGCAATTTCTTATGTTGGTATACGCAATAACGATAGAGCTTAAAAAGCGTGAAGAGTGGCTTCTTCGTTTAGCTTACCGAGCCTGCTGCAGCTCGGAAAAATATTTACGACACGAGTGAGTAAGAAAATGGGGCCGCGGCTCGCCTCAAATGAAATGCGTAGGTCAACGACTCGCCCAATTCGATCTGCACCGGTCCGGCCTCTCACACTGATTCTAGTGTCTCATGCCAAATTCCACCCTCACGCTACTTTTTTGCACCCTTAATTAATATGTAAAAGGAAAAGGAAATTAAGTAATTAATTAATTAATAAAAAAATCAGAATTTTATATCAAACTATGTTTGTAAGCCAGGAATATTATATAATTTAAAGAAATAATTTGAAGTTTCCAACATTGATGATATTATTTTATTTAAATTTGCAATGAAAATCTATTGAATAATGATTTTTTTTCATTGGATTGAAATATATTATAGATTTTTTTTATTGCTATTATATTATTTTCGCGTTGGCAACCTGCTGAAACGCATCTGGGCGCTCGTTCCTCGATCAATCGCGTTCAATTTGTGAGGGTCAGAGTGAGAGTGACGCAGAAGCCACTTGATATTCGCCTATTTACTTTTGCGGCGCGGCCCCTCGCAGAGGGCAAACATCACGCCACCGGCTTTCGCTGTAAACAAAACAGCGGGCGAGAGAATGATTCATTTTTGCTTGCAAATTTTCTCTCACAGCTTTTTTTTTAATCTGTCGTTTGTTTTTCCCGTCGTGACTTATTTGGCGTGTAATTTTGTAACCAGCCACCCTTCTCAAGATAAAATGTAATAGAAGGAAATACTGATAAAAAAAGCGAGGTAATTGTTCAAACCTGCATGGGTTTGAACGTTTTTTTTTCAGTTCGGAAGTAATACATTATTTTATTGCTTCCTTTTACAAAAGGGAGAACTGAAGCTGACACGTGCACAAACAAAATTCATCATTTTGGTTGTCAAGTTAGTCAAGTGTGGGTTCAAAATTATGCAACATAAAGTCTATTACAAATAATTTTCCTCGTAGGTCTTCCAATCTGGACTCTCTTGATTCGCGTCCCAGCCGTTGGCTATTGCCAATCACGTTGTAGGATTTCTGCAAGCCGCCGTTTGTGACGTAATTAATATGTTACGGAGTTGCCTATGTTTTTTAATGTCGGTAAATTTCATGAGCCTTCCTAAGCTGAGCGCACCTAAATAATAATTAAATATATTTAAATAAATAATTTTATCACCAATAGAATAACTAAAATTGTTAATTTTAAAACAAAGCAACGTGATTTATGATTTTTATGACTCGATTTTGTGATGTGAAATTTTTTTTGCAAGGATGATCATAGAATGTTGTTTTTTTGTAAATAATAAACAACTCACAAAACCCTTCAAGGAAAATTCGATTTTAAATTCAAATCACCATGATCATAGAAGTTAATAATATGAAGAATATAATATTAATAATATTTTTTTCATCTTCTTAGTTAATAAACCAGTTTCCTTCACTCCTTGTTGGAAATGGATTTGCTGAAGTTTTAATTCATTGAAAGCATTTTTCCTTTTTCAAAATGATCATAATAACTAAGAGTAGAAGCAAATTTTCATTATGATCAATAGAGAGAAATCTAATTTCAATATTTCTTTAAAATGATCAATGATCAATAATTTTAATGGTGAGCTTACCGATTGACGTTTTAAAAAACATGATGAAATGAAGTGAGTAGAACTAGAAACGCTCTGTTCTTTCCGTGGCGGCGCCTATTTTATTAGTGCAATGATCTGAGCACTTTTCTTTCTATAAACACAAGACGCTTTCATCAGGCTGGAGGAACGATTTTATTTTAAGAAGGCCTAATTTCCGTTCAGTATTAAACAGAATGTGGGTCGTCCTTCTGGATGACGAATTGATTTTCTGCGGCCTCACAAGTCTGCTGTTGTGCGAAATAACGCATTGGAGGAATTCGCCCTCGACCAACAAGCAAATTAATCTGGCTGCGCGTTCCATACATGTCGCTCTCTCGCATGTACAATAATAACAAAAGCAAAACTGGGTCAACCCGCCCTTTCAGCGCCGTCTCATTCATTCGGCGCCGCCAGTTGAGATTCTGTATTGCATCTCAGCAGTTGGAACTTTCATTTCGGGCTTCACTCAAAATATTGTTGGAAAAAATTTAGGAAATTTAATAAGGTTGAACATAATTTTTGCTTCACAATTTCTCAGCGTCATTATTAAGTGTTTAGAATTTTATAAATTAGAGCCAGAAGATCTTCAACTAATATTATACATCATACAGTATTCACTTAATAATGAGGGGAAATTTTTGTATTTAAAGGTTGTTGAAATTGCACGCAATATTTAACTTAAATGAATTTTCCTGTCACAAAAGCGCAAGTATTGCCTTTGTTTTGGTATCTTTTGGGTTGGATTTAATTATTTGAACACAGAATTTTCACGTCTTGAGAATTACTTTAAGCATGATTAAAATTTTTTGCCAAATTGTGTTTAAACATCAACAGAAAAATTTCAGTTAAGAATTAAACTATTTTCAGTGTCTTTTTAAATCCACTCCAGCTTTATTATTTCATGTGATAATTCTAAAATTCACATTTTGTATGCGAAAATTTATTGTGTCTGCACGATGCAGAAAATCCATGCTTATTTTTTCCTTTGAATAAATTCAAAAAATCAGACTGAAAGACAGGGAAATCTGTGAAGTTTCAGAATTTTGAATGTAAAACTGCGTTCATAGGGAAAAGTTGTTTTGAGATTTATTTAATTAACATTTAATTAAATTAAAAACATAAAAACTTATTTTGTGTTACAATTAATGTTTTTTCTTAATGCAACAAAATCTGAGTCCCAAAAGTCAATATTGTTTTGTGGGGATGTGCCATAGCTGGAATGAAGCAACACAGTTCCGCGTGTATTTCGCAACGGATGCGGCATTGAGCTGCGCAAAACATGATTTGCTTGAATTATTTCGTGGTGTCGCATTCGTCGGTCGTCTGTCATCAGCCAATAATTTTCAGCAGCGAAACATGACGAGTTTCGTTACAAGAAGTCCTTGGCGCGAATTATAATTATAGCCGGCGGGTGCTAATTATCTTGCACTTTGTTCCTCACACTGGGATGGATTCGGTGGCAAAATTAAGCAGCGCGATTGGAGGTGCTCGGAAGTTGAAAGCAGAGCTAGTGCGGTAATGGAATTAAGTGAGCAAGGCCGTCGCCAGCAGTCCTACGAGCTTATGGGGAGAGCAACGTGCAAGGTCGCCAAGAGCGAGGGAACGCGATCAATACGCGCTCCCGCTCCTCAATGGCAAAAATAAAAATACGCCAACACGCGTTCGCGGTCATAATTTGTTGATCTGAAGTTTTTTTTGTAGTGAAAGTAAAATTGTAAAATTAAACTTCATTATTATGAGACTGGTTAAATTTAAAATCAGATATTTAATATATTTTATGAAATTTCTCTAACAAAAGGGATGGTGAAAAAATAACATATAATCGGAAGAAACATTTTGGCTGCAGAGGAATCAAATAACTCTCAAGATTACTCTTTTTTATTTTTTTTTCAAATACCTATATTTTTCATTTTAAAAATAAAAACGGGACGGATAAAATTGTGTGTTTAATGAGATGCATTGGATAGGTTTTATTATTACTTTCTTTTTATTCTGAAAGATCCCAAAGAGTTGTTATATAAGCAAAAAAAATTTTAGCTCTCTGCCAGGACCAATTAAAAAAGTCGCCTGCCGGTCCTAAAAATGAACCATTGCGATAAACTAAACTTACAAATAATCGTTTTGAGAAGACCTTCAGGGACTGACGAGATTTCCCAACAGCTCTGTCTTGCCCCAGGCGGCCCGCGCAGAATCAATCCCTCCAGCTCGGCAACTTTTTTGCAACGCAACGACGCTATCTCATCACTTTTCTTTTTTATTCCTCCTCGCCTGTGAACAAACGACCATTGTTCTTTTCAACCCAATACACACAAACCACCTCGGGGGAGATGAACTTTCTTATTTCTTTTTCACTCGACTGTGTAGAAAAAAGAAGTGAAGAGAACATCTATTACTGAATTCACTTTCTTTTTGTTCTCCAAATTGAGCGATTGTGCTTTTGAAGTCGCGCCCAACGCATAACTCAGATCCGGCGGCGCGTGGTGGACAGAGAGGCGCGATTTATTTTCAGACCACATCACCACACCGGTTCATTCAAAAGCGGCTGCGACGAGATGGGCGTGCTAATTTCCGTCGCGACTACTTCAAAGCTGGAATCCGAGAGGCGCCAAGAATCTCAACATCGCTTTTATGACTCACAATCATAAAAATTAAAATCTGAAATTCCTAAGAAACAAATTTACACAAATTAGCGTAAATTTAAAAGCAAATATGCATATTAGTGGCTTACTTGCTGACTTAAAAATAGAAAAATTGTTAAACATTAAAAGTGAGTAAGCTTTAAAACGTTTATCATTAGGGTTGGATATTAAAAATTAGAGAAATAAACTAATTATGTAATAAACAAAATCTGGATTTGTTGAGAAAGAAAAGTTTTACAATAATATGTGACCCGTACGCCTGGGAAAGGAAAGGTGGGCAACCGGATCGTCAGGCAAGACATGCCGGTTGCATAATATGTCCTTTAAAATTATCCTTTTGTCATACAAATATTTGGTTACCTTTCTTCTAAATAAACATAGAAGGTGAAAATTTGTATAAATCATAAGATTTTAATTATATACCCAAAATTACAAAATGAAAAGAAAATTTACTCCCAAATAGCAGCAAAAATAAAACTGACTCATTTTCAGTGTTTGATTTCATACACCATGTTTCTAAAACTCCACAGATCGTCGGGTAGATCCGGTTTTGCCGTCATTTAAACGTAAAATTCTTTTAAAATTCCTAACAACGGAGTCACAAAGACAGATTTTGCATCACTCTCATGACATGCTCAATTCTGGAGAGATGCATAATATAATCTTGGATCCGTTCACGAGTCGTCCTTGATGCGTAAGAGTGAACAAGCAGCCTCAACATTGCCATGCGAGGGAGGCCACTCGGGTCGACCAAAATACCCAACTTTGGCTCTCGGCCACTTTTTGATTTTTTGGAGACAGCTCTTGAGCAGAGAGCAAAGGTGCTTTGCTCCCGCAGGTGCGAACACTAACGATCACGCGCGACAAAACGTGCTCGCTGCTCCATTAACGACTTTAGTCTCATCAACATTTTTTCCAACGTAATCTTCAGATTTTCACTGAGTGAGAATCGGACGCGCGTAAAAAAAATATGATGCAATGCGGCTTGTTTTTGACCCCCCAAAACTACGCATCAACTGATGCAAGCGTAAAATATTGATCAACAGCCCCGATTTGCGTCGCTCCCCTCACGCCCACGGGGTTTGTGAAAATTGTATGGTCCGGGTCAGGTTTTCCCTTTTGTTTATTAGATTTAAATAGAAACAAAAGAAGGAAAGGGAATTACAAAAGTTCTTTGTGCTGAGCTATTTAAAAAGTGGATATTAGGAACCGCGTGACTGGACTTATTGACGAGGGATTAATTTTATTTTTGTAATAAATATTTCAAATATTTACATACAAATATAATATTTTTTAATACATGAATATACTAAACGACAAACGAAAATATTATGATTTTTTTGCGTATTTTTCCAAATTGTTACAATCAAATCACATTTCAATGATATAAACATTATTTTTTAAAGTAAAATTATGATCAAGAGAGTTGATTTATTCTCAGCATGAGTATGAATTTAAAAACGTCTTTTCCTCAATAGATATTTTGGTATTTTAATGAAAATAAGTTGATTTATTTGTGTTTTCTAACGGAATTGTTAACGATGAGTTTGATTTTTTTTTTTATTAAATTGTAAATAAGGTTACAAAACAAAAAACACAATATATCAGTTGCAATATTGCTCCTTCCATCGGGAAAAATTTTGGCTGTTGAATTTCAACACAAAATCTCCAAGGAGTCCTTGTGATTTTTCAAACAAGACGTGATAAAAGTGTTTTAATTTTAACTTTACAGGAGAGAGCGAAGAAAGAGTCGTAAAACAGCTCAGATTATCACGTCTCGGCTGTGAAATTCAAAACACACCAGTTGGGCTTGATGATTTTTTTCCTTTTCATTCTCAAGGGGATAATTGGACACTCGGTTGCAGCAGGTTCTCTGCTTTCGCCTTCACCTCTTAATGGGGCATTTTGCATGCGCGAGTTGTGTACAAAAATAAATCGCACCAGGGTCTAATTTTAACTATGGTGGCGCGATGCATGTGCCCCGCGATGTGGGTCAAAAGCTGCGACCTTTGCGCGACCACCCCAGCAGCGGAGTGAGATTGTGACCTCGCAACTTAAAGAACCTTTCTTTCCTTCTTTCATCTCAGCACGATAAGAAATAAAAATAAACTTAACGTACGTGACTAGCCTTAATTACACAAAATTTGCATTTCTTATTGTGGCCAAACCAAACCAATGGCAAAGTCATGTATAATCGTGTAAAATATCATACCATGGATATATTATGTTGAATTAAAAATGTCATTTATTTCTACCTAATAACCAACAAAAACTAAAGCAAACAAAAATAAAAATTATGAATTTTGTTGCAGAAATTGAATTCACAATAATATGAATTTAAAAAAATAAAATCTAAAAATTATTTAAAATTTATTTAGGATTCAATTCCAACGAAAATTGAAGTATAAGAAATAAGATACTGAGAAAGGAATTAAATAAGAAGTTTTAGTTGCCCTTGAAGTGGTGAATGAGTCCAATTTTCGGCACCAATCGGGGAAGGCAAAGAAGTGTTTCAAGGTTCATCGGAATCAAAAAACAATTCTGGGTTCGTCGCTCGTGGTTCAAATTTTTCATCGGCTAAGTCAAAACAAGAGTGCCGCTCGACCCATTGGGCACTGATCCCAGCCAGCAGCTGTGCAACATCTCCCGGATCGCGAGACGTCTGACCTTGCTGATTTTGCACTCGTTTTCGCCAATTAATCAGCAAGTCTCTTCTCTAGATAGACGTGCTTCAGCACTTTGCAGTCAAAACAAATTCCAACGCTGCTTGGAATGAAAGGCGAAATAATTATTTTCTCATTAATACTTTATTTTTTATACAGATTCGTAAAATTCATTGTGCTCAAACATTCATCTCCTTTTTTATTCGGAGTAAACTAAATTAGTCTTTGATTTTAAAATTCAGTTAATTTAGAGTAAAAACATACCTCAGTAAATCGTTCAATTTTTAAAATTAGCACCTTTTTGTGTTAACATATAAGTTCAGACGGAAGGGTATACTGTGCATTCAAAAGAGAGAAATCACAAAAACAATTTGAATCATCCTCTGAGGACTTAAATTTAAAATAAGATCCTGCTATCTTCGAGTCAACTGCTGGCAGTGAGTTTTCAATTCTCTTGCACATTTTCCTCAGCAAGACAAGAACCTCTGCTCTAAATATAATGCTAGACATACATTCCATTCCATTCAATAATAATTCATGCAAAACTCTTACAAAATATATATCGAAACGACACGGATGGCAATAATTAGACAAAATTCTAATTTTTGTTACAACAACACGATTTAGTAAGTATATAGTCCAATTTTTAGTCTTTCTCTTAGGACAGAAAGTTTCCTCTAAGGCAATTCATTTAGCTGCACGTGTAAAGCACGTTTCATCGGAGGCACTCCTCAAATATTGTTTAAAGGCGTTTACAATAATACAAATACCGTTTTAGAACAAAAATGGCACTGAAGACAATAAATTACCTCGAAAAAATAATGCAGAGATGAAAAATAACGAGTAATAATTGACTGAGGGAGAGCGCAAGTATTTAGTTATTCTTAACCTGCATAAGCACCTGACAACCTAATCGACGCACACACTGACTATCAAACCAAATTAGAATTTAGGCAACACAATTGCAATTAGTCATTAAAAATGTTTAATTCACTTCCCGGCATAAGTGGGATTCTTGAAGGTGGACGTCGCCTGCTTATAGATGGGATTCTCACCCTAAGAGAGGAAGGAAATAATAAATTTTTACTTAAAAAAATGTTTCTTTTGAACTTACTGTATCCCATTTGGCCATCATGCGTTCGTTTTCAAACTTGGCAAACTCGCGTCTGTCATGGATTGTGGTAAGAAGCTTCCACAAGAGCAGAAGAGCCAGACCAATTAGCACGATTGCTCCAATCACACCCAATACAATACCTGGAACAAATGAAGTTATAAAAATTAATGTTCAATGCAAACAATTTATAGATTTTAATCTTCAATAATTATGCTGATTGAGACAAATAAAAGATTATTTGACAAAAATTAAAGATAAAAATACATAAATTTTAGAATTGAATCAGTACCAAGGATGTAGATCTGAGGAGGGCAGTCACGGTGTTCCTGGGCGCGCACCACAATCTTTCCGGCCTCGTCCCACGAGTACACGTAGGCAAAGCGGCAATCGTCCTCATCGTAAAACCGGCACAGGTACTCATCCTCCTCTTCATTAGCTGAGTAGTAAGATATTTAAAAATCTGCACAATTTGTGAAGTTTTGACGTCTCACCAGTGACTTCGTCAACAACCGAAGGTACAAAAGTTGTGCAATTTTGTCTGCAAGCCTCCTCGTCAAAAGACCCAGTCTTGTAAACCTGGCACTGAACGCATTCCTTAAACTCGTTGCAGCGACCGGTGCAAGTCTGAAATTTTTTTTCAATTTATAATTTTATCCCATTTGCTTTTCACGAATTAAGAATAAAAAAGGGAAATTTTAAAATTTAAAAAAAGAAGTTAAACTGAAATAAATTGGTTCTTAATATGATAAGATCAAAATTGAAAAGTATATCATTGAGGCTATTTAACTTCAATGTTTGCAAAAAAAAAAAAAAAAAAAAAATGAGTTATTAAGTGATTCTCACATTGCACTTCTCGCAGTAGCGTCCAAAGTATCTGCCCTTTTCAGCATCTTCAAAGCACTTGCAGACGCCACACTCGCAAGAACCCTTGCCAGAACAGATCTCTCCTCCTCCAGGTGGAATACAGGTGTCTTGTGAGATTTTGCAGTCGCAAGACTTGCCTGTCCAGCCAGCGTTGCACTGGCAAGAGCCGCAGACACAGGTACCATGGTCCGGCCCTGAGCACAGCAGACCGTTGTGTCTGTCGCACGAGAAGTTGTCACACTCGCAGAAAGGACCAGAGATGCTCTTCAAAATTATAAAATTTTAATTAGTTAACCTCGCAATTAAAGTTTACTTCCAACTAACCTCTTCTGGGTTTTGTCTGGCTTCACATTCGCAAACACCACAGACGCAGCTGCCTCGACCTGAACAGTCGACCGTAGTGTAGTTGTCGGGTCTGCAGCTGGAGGTCAGATCCTTGGTGCCGTGGGCGTTCTCACTGTTGCACTCACATTTACGGCCAAAATGAGAATCGTCACATTCACAAACGCCACACTTGTAGGTGCCCGAGTACGAGCACTCCTTAGCATTCTGCTTGTAGCCCTGAGGAATTATTTTTCATGAAATAATATTTCTTGTGCAAAATACAGTTAAAATATAACGAATTAAATTAAGTAAAGTTTTGCTGTTTTTGAGACATATTAGACATCAACATACGGGATTCCCAGGGTTTTCGCAGGGACAGTCGCACAGCATTTCCAAATCAACAATGAGACTCTCGTTGATGCCGACTGGATAGACCTGCAGGATCTGATTCCACTCTTTGCGGTCCTTGGGGCAGCTGGTCACCTCGATCTCAATCACGAAGCTCACTTTCGTGCCAACTTTCAGCCCGTCACACTTGTTGGTCTGCTTCAGAGGGCCAGGGGTCAGGCAACTCGAGTAGTAGGTGACCTTGACAGCACTTGTGGCGTTGTCCTTGATTTCAACGGACGAGGAGATTTTCTATAAAATGGATATTTTTTTATAAAATTAATTTCTTTTTCTCTTTTTTTAACTTACGCCATATTGCTCCCTAACAAGTTCAACCACGTTAGCAGAATCGTCGGAAAGAGTTCCGGAAGAGGCGCCTTCAATGTTGTCCTTGAGTTTGTCATAGATGTTGATCTGGTTGGCTGTGACGGCAAAGATGACGTTGATTGCGTTCTGCTTGACCTTCAGGTTGACCTGCGAGATGGAGGGATAGTCCTGCAGGGTCGAGTGGGTGTACATGCCAGCCTGGTCCAAATGGCACTCGCCATCGTTTGGCTTCACAATTCCACCAAGCTGTCAAAAAATTCGTTTTTTTGAAATACTAAACTTTAAAATAAAAAGTGGTAGAGTACTTTTCCATCTCCAGCGTAATGGAATCCAGCATCTGTTGAGAAAACCAAGAGACGTCGGGCCTTTTCACGCCATCCAATCTGATCACGGCAGACGACAGCCTGCATGATGGCGTCAAAACCTCCCTCTGGAGCGTCAAGGTTGCCAGAAACGGCCGCCTTTTTCACTTCACCCTGATAAAGAAATTAAGATGTTAGGCAAAACGAACGGTTTTTCTACAAAAGTGAAGCCAGCACCACTCATTACAAATCACTCCAGTCTTTAACGTTCAGATGCAAAATTTAAAAGCTCAAGAAATCTGTTGTTCTTTTGACATTTAAATTAAATTTAAAAAACTCAATTTTTAAAATAATTCTTTTAACTTATTGGTAAAAAGATTTATCCAGGTAATAAAAGAAAGTAATTACTTTTAATGTAATAAATATATTATAAATTTTAATGCTTTTAAGATTCAAATTTTAATATTAAAAAATGTTAAAAATTAGTGCTGGTTAAATTGTTAATTAGTGACACACAATCACAATTAATACTCTTAAGAAACACGAAAATTACACTCATTTTAATTAATCAAACTACTGTTCTTAATACACTTCATTATTGACGCAATTGAACTTTTGGATTTGATTACAACACTCGTACTCGACACAACAATTAACTTCATATATGAGACAAACACAAATACGTGGGAATCTAAAAAGCAACATTCGCCCCGCCACCGACAAAATACCACACAATATCATGCAAAAGAACCAAAGACAGACACAGGGAAGCGATGGAGCAAAATAGAAAATCTCAAAATAATATAATTATCACACTCGGTGAGTCATGTGGATGAACTTACGGCAAACCGACCGGTGTCCTGGCTCAAGGACATTACATTATGATAACCGTAAGGTGCAGCACAACCTGTGCATGGCTGCTCGAGACTGAGAAGAAAAAACAGTGCTGTAGAAACTGTACAAAATGGATTCGGGCAGTTTTCCCTCGAGAACAACGTATTTACATAAGGAGATAACCTAATTAAATGTGTTTAAATTTAAGTGTGTGTGAGATTCCAGGTCAGATTTTCAGCCATCCTCAAAAAAGCAACTAGTCTATGGCTGAGGAGGCTGAGAATCGGCGTGTCAGAGAACACAAACATATAGAAGAGAGGCAGGAAATAATAGAGTGAACATGAAACACGCTTAAAATAAATTTCTATGATGGCGGCAATTGTGGCTTTTGGTCCAGTGTGTGTTGAGCGTGTATGTGTGCGTGACCACCACCTCTGAACATTGCGAAACTATTCCAATTGGAAAGGGGCACATGAACTGACAAAGTGAGTTCTCAGACTTACAGCAAACCTGCCAGTGTCATCATCAAGGGTCATGTGGTTACGGAAACCGTACGGCGCTTCGCAACCATCGCACGGTGCCTGTAATCTTTAGGGCCAACAAATTTTCAAACTCTGTATTTTGTTTTTAGCAAATGTGTATCTCTTAAATGTGCAGGACTCTCGGGGTTTAAAAAAATTATTATCAAAATCATTTAAACAAATCCACTAGTCAAATTAAAAATCAACTAGTGAATTTTTTTCCTTTTTTTATAAATAAAAAACTCACTTCTTGGGGACAGTGCTCACGTAAGGCATGACCACTTTGTCGACGAAGCTCCCGAAGCCAAGACGGAAGTTAGAAGTTATGTTCTGCATAGCCTCGGCCAGCAAGTCTCCAAGTTCGGACAGCTTGTCCTTGTCATCCTCCATGGACTTGGACAAGTCCATCAAATAATAAAGGTCAACCGGATAATCTTCGGCCTGTGCGTAGTCCATTGTGAAGCGGTACGCCTCGGCTGGAGGAAAATCAAATTTTACTTTGTTCAGTGGAAAATAAAGTTCTTCAGTACCTATTCGGAGTTTAAGGCTGACCCTCTGCGGGTGTACCTGCACCGACTCGGAACCTTCTTTGGCTTTGGACAGCTCCTTGGACATGAGTACAGTGTACACATTGTCAGGGTTGACGATGAATTCCCGCTTGCATTGGAACTTGCTGCGGTCACTTCCTTCTGGCTGGAAGCAGCGTTTCACGTTGGTTCCATTGCCGAAATTCTGGAAACACATAAATTTTTTTCAAATGCATTTTATTTTTCCTCAATCAAAAGCATAATACAATAAAAAATAAAAAATAAAAATTTTTGAAGGTTTTAAAAAGTTTAAAATTAATTTAAACATAACAAAACTAAAAAAATTGGTGAAAGTGAAGAAAATAAAATTTTTATAAATTAAAAAATAGGACTTACCGGCTGTGAGCACCAGGCGCAGGTGGGCGTTTGGATGCAATCTCCGCAGGTCTGTTTTGAGACGCAGGGGTTCTGCACGACCAATTTTTCGGGTGCGAGGATCTGCTGCTGCTGGTGTGAGGCGCCAACCCAGAGGAGCAGAAGAGACGCGAGCAAAAAGTGCTTCATGGCTCTGCAACAAAACAAGGGCGCTTGTTGTAGTGATCAGAGAGCAAGCGTGGAGCGTGGGTGCCAAAAAAAAGCCTTCCAACTACGCTTGGACTCGGCTTATCTGACTAAGTCAAGTAATAACGACCAGCAGGCCGACGAGGGATGAGAATGGAAGCGAGAGAGAGATCAATCGATTACGGCGCACAGGGGCCAAAGTTGATTGATGCTGGCATGGCGACCGGCTCATTTGTTACAAAGGTGTCAAAATGACGATTTATTACAATTTTATATGACTATCTTTATATCATATCTTCAAGACTATAGCTACAAAATAATAAATAAATCATCATTAAATTTTTATATTGCAAAACTTTTGTATCTGATTATTCGTATATTTTTTCAAGAGAACGTGGGAAAACAATAATGCTTTACAAAAATTTAAAATGCCACAAACTTTTAAATTTTAAATCAGAAATTTTTATCTCAGCACAGCAATAATTTTTATTGTGATTGATCTGATTTTATTAAATTCAAATGCAAACATTTTCTTATAAAAAAGGTGAAATTTATTCAGAAAACTAAAATTGATTTTAACTTTTTCATTTAGACCTCTGCAGATTTTTTTTTAATATAATTTTTTGCTTCTAATCGGTTGATACAAAAATTATTAAATTAATAATAATTAACATTGATGAATTTTTTTATTTCCAATAACGTTGAATTTATAAAACCGTAATGTGAGGCAGGTCAAGGCTGCAAGCCATTTAAAGAAAGCGAACATAAAAATATTCTCAACTTTTACAATTGCGATTAATGCGATTCCAGCAACTTTCTTTCCGCTCTGAATTTTAGGAAATCAACTTTGTCAAATGCGGAAGCTCTTAATGGGCAGATAAGACTCATCGAATTGTTTTGCAAGTGTTTTTTTTAACAGAGATTGAGTGTTGAGCACCGCGAGACGTCATCTCGCGACGTCGCGTTCTGAGAAAATGCACCGCGAGTGAATCTCGCGTCTCGAATCGTGACGTCGATCGGTGGCTTTCCGAGAGCCAAGTGGGCGGTCGACGTTGCCAAGCCTCCCGTTTCCAAGTGCAAAGGTACGGCCTGTCCTTATAAGGACACCATCTCTCAGGCCGACCGACCGACCGTCCACTAGTTGTTTCAAAACGAGATCCATTGTGACAAAAAAGTCGGACGGGTAATTCAACAAGCGGCACCAAAACGGGAGCAACGCGATTGAGAGAAGGAAAAATAAATCAACCTCAGATCGCAAACAAAGAGAATTGAATTGATTGATTTCCTTCCAAAACAATGGGACAAATGAAACTGAACAAAATTAATATTGCAGTGGAAGCAGAAGAAGTGTGGGTGCGAGGGAGAAGAGAAAAGAGGTGGTTACACTTGGCGCCGAAGCAGCCAACACGCGTCGAATTATTTTTAAATTCGCCGCTGGCACAACGACCGACAAAATTTATTTAAACTCGCGCTAAACTTTCGGACATTAATAGGTTAAAAAATGATTAAAAAAAAAAATTGTGTTGCACAATAAGTTTTAAAATGAGAATTCGGTTTTCATCGACTTTTTGAGGAATTTTCGGCTTTTTTTATTATTTTTAGTTACAAAAAGATTAAAATAGATCTGTATTATTTTTTTTTATAAAACAAATAAATTAATCAAAAAACCACAGAGGAAAAAGCAATATTAAGTTCAACAAAATCTATTATTGATTGCTGAATGTGGTCAAATTTTTTTATTAAATTTATTTTTCATGTCCGCAAACGGCGCAAACTGTAGTTGTAAAATAAAGAAGCGTTTGTAAAAAACAAGGAGAAGCCTGTTTTATTTTCATCAGAAATATCTCTGCCAAATGGAATTTCGGATTTTCAGATGTAAGAAAATCATTTTTTTTTTAATTCAATGTAATTTAATATTAAATTTTTAGCACGTAGGAATTCTTGATTGTTATACTTTGTGATCCGCGTTGAATATTTATGAAAAAAATGTTGGCGTCGAGAGCATCTCTCTTGGTATAAAACACTATCGCATATCCGGCGCTCGTAAAAATTCAGGACCCACATCTTTGTACTTTTTAATTCCGTGTTGGGCTTTTCGTCTCCTTGGCTCTTGTGTAGGTAAAGCCTGCGTTGGGTGTAGAAAAAGCGAAGGGGGCCTGAATCAACAACGTCGGGTGTTTTACATGCAGGATGTGTGGCCTGCGCGCACGAAAAGCAACATCTGCAGGCAATACTGCCGTGCCTGCGTCCGATTTCACTCTCGGCACAATTCTTTGTCAAATTTTGTGTACTTAAAGTTCTGTAGGACAATATTTGGGAAACAATACAAGTTAAGAAAATAAAATTGAATGGATAAATTTTAACTGAAGGTATTTTGTTTAAATTGAAAAAATTGAGTTAATATCCTAAATTTCTTTATTTATCTTGAACTTAATTTTTTTTTTAATTTTGTTAACTTGAGGATTGCACTAATATGATATAATTAAAATCAATTGAAACAACACATTAATTAAGATTCAAGCATGATCATAAAAAATAGCGCCGAATTTATAGTGCTTAGTTTCTTGCACGCTTGAAAATTATTGTCTGCCATTCAAATTAATAAGTGAAGCTTCTGAATTATTTTTAATAGAACAAACTTTAATTTATGAATATTGTAAACAATAGAAAGTTGAGAGATTAAATGTTTTGACCAAAATGTTGTATTTTTTGGCCCTAAAATTACAATGTCGTCTGTGTTTTTTTTAAATGAATCGCGGAGAACTTTGTTTGACTGAACTCGAGCGAGCGCTAAAATAGAGAAAAAGAGTCATCTGGCCTCGTCAGCCGCACGAATACATCATAGGCGGACACCCCCCGTCCGAGTGTCTCTCTCGGCCCGAATTCGCCCCAAATGCCGATACTCACAGGCTTTTTTCTGATGGCACTGCTGAATTTTCGATGTGCACGGCTGAAATGTCACGAAAAGAGCCGCACTCGCATTATCCCGCGGCGACAATCAATGGGCAAAGTGACCGCTGCTCTTGCCTTGCTCCTTTCCTTGCTTGGGTTTACTTCTTGCTTGACTCACTCATTAGAAGGAAAAAATATGCCCAGCATGACGTCACCGCGACCCATCCACCCGTGCCACAGCCCTACTCTCGAAGAAGCGGCAGACAGAAGCCATCTGTTGTCATAGAAATGAACGAGAGCCAAGTTATTTCAGTAGGGTGTAAATAAAGGAGTTGATATACCATTTCCAATTTTATGTCGTAAAAAATCAAATTTTAATCCCAAATCACCCCAAATGAAAAAAAAAACAAAAAAAAATTTAGTGTCGGTTATTTTTATTTTCTATAAAATATGATAATATATGATATTTCTTGGGGCACTTTCTAAGCTTTATTTATCTCCTTTCTGATATCTCTTTAGACATTCCAGTCTAAATCTCTTCTCCTCCGCTAGGTGGCACGTAAATCCAAGAATTCTTACCGCGTGTTCTTCAACTTTTGTCTTTTGGTAAACAAAATCGCAACACTACGACTCGCAAGGGATCTCTTGCCTTTTTCACTCAGATTTTCTCTGGACAAGAATTCCTTTCAAATCCAATGGACGAGGAATTCAGTTCAGCATCGCAGCTAGAGGCTCTCGAGTCGGAGCCGAACAAGGTAGCCGAGTATTACCGCGCTTTTCACAAAGCCAAAGACCAGGCAGACTACAATGTCATCTCCGACTACAAGAAGCACCTGCCGCACTTCGATTGCGTCCGAATCGCTGAAGGTTCGTTTTGTTAAAAATACTAGGGTCTCAATATTAATTAATCTATTTCCAGACGGAACAACTTTGGTCTGCAGCTCAAATTTGAACGGCCGGTTGTGGAAGGGCTCAGTGGTGGTTTACAAAACGCCGGACAACGCAGTTGAGGGTGATGTCGCCAAGGCCGTCGCTGGCACCGTCACCAGCGCAGGAATTGCAGACGGAGTCTTTTTGGCTCCTGGAGAATTTGTAATGTTTTTTATTTTTACAATACAGATTTTTATTAATTTAAATAAATTGTAATTCAGTTTGTAGTTGGTGAAGACAGTGGTGCCGTGACTCTTCTTCGACTGATGCGACCCATGGGTGGCCCCAGTCCTCCGACCATTCTTCACCTGGGCAGCAGCTACACCCACAATGACTCAGTAACTTCCATTGCCACCCTTCCGGACAAAAAGAAAATTGTCACCTCCAGTTATGATCTGACGTAAAATTAACGAAATATTTCTCAACTATATGTTTATAATGTACTTTCAGCATCAAAGTGATCAACACAGACGGTCTGTTGGTCGAGAACGAGTTTTCGCCGGCCCACGGCCACCCTGTCCTCTCAGTGGCCACTCAGACCAATAGTGAAGTTTTTGCCTCTTGTGCTGACCACAACGAGGTTCTCCTCTGGGACATTCGGCAAGAAAAACCAGCCCATTGTAAATTATTTATAAAAAACTGCTATAAAGTTTTACATAAATCTAATTTTTTTCCAGTGGTCTTCAAAACTGAAATCAATACAACTTGCTTGAATTGGCAGCCAGAAAGTCACATCCTGGCTATTGGAGATCAAATCGGCTCCGTCATTTTGGCCGACACTAGAAATCCGAAAACTCAACTTGCAAAATTCAGCATTCCAAATCACAGGCCTCTACACAGACTTCTGTTCAATCCTCAACTGTAATTTTTTTCGGTGGAAAGAGAAAACATTTTTAATTCTTTGAAATTTTAGGACTTCAAGTTTGGCTGTTGTGGGTGATTTTACTGAAGTCTACATTCTAGACTGCAGCAGCGGTGATCTCAAACAAACGTAAATTAATCATTGAAAACAATTTATATTTATTTATGATTTGCTTAATTGATATTCCAGCTCCACGTTCACATCTCATGCTGACTTCGCAAGAGGATTGGCGTGGAAGGGTGACTCACTGTACAGTTGTGGATGGGACTCGAGGGTTATTGAAAACAAAAAGCTCTGAACCAAAAAACCTGTGCGATCAATTTGCCTTGTTAAGTTGAATTGATAATAAATGCAAGAATTAAAAAAAGAAAACCACCTAAAAGAGAACAGTTTCGATGTATAAAAATTAATTATTACACATCAAATTTAGAATTCATAAAAAAAAGAAAAAAATTTTAAATAGAAATCAGGTAGACTTTGTACATAACTATTCAAATTACCCAAGAAGAACCGCTCTTGCTGAAGCGTGAAGGGCCTACGTAATTTTATTTGAAATTAAAGTGCAGCAATTTCTATTAGATAGGTTTTATTTTAAATAAAAAATAACGTACTAATAGAAAATTACATTTTTAATTATTAAGAAAAACGTCTTTCCAGTGCGAATTAATGTAAGGAAATTCTGCAGGGTCAATTTTCCCGCCGGAGAGAAAAACTGCTGGTCGGTTACGCACGCCGGCCATCTTACGTGTTCATTATTTTCTCATCTCTTCGCATCCGGGAGGATGCTGCGAATCGCCTAGGCCTCGGCCCGCTGTCGCAGCACACATGTCAACTTTTCCTCGCGATTAGTCGAGCAGGACCACGAGCCTTTCGGCCAGTCGGGCCGAATGCGGAGGGTTGCCGAAAAGAGCGCCGACGGAGCCGAGATTTCGATCGCAGCCGCCCACACAAACATGAGACTCGCACGGTGAGCAGAATTCGTTGCTGCCCTCGGGCTCCGAGACCCTGCCGAGGCCGTGGACCTCGTCGGGCCGACGCCCTGGCCAGTCGGCCGAGCGCCTAATGTGTTCGCTGGGCGATTTGGCACCTTCGGCGTTCCTTATTCGGTCTCTTTTCGGACCGGTGCGGACCCAAATTTTGAGGCCCAATGGTTGTTGGGCTCGTTTTGGAGAACGAAGGATTTTCCTTTTTTTGCAAGAAGGTCGGCTTTACTGGGGAAAATTGTGTGAGGGAGTGGCATTGTGACATTTTCCGCCGACGAGGAAGTGAAAACCTTGGAGACGACTAAACGCTCTTACATGTACACAACACATATGTGTACATAAATACATACATAAATGGCTGGTGCTATTGTAACACGATCCTATAAGGCTAACTTCAATTGCCAGCTTCAATCTTTTAATTTTGATTGAAAACGTGCGATTAAATTGAACAATACATAACGGGAATCAGTTAAATAACAGTGATTAAAAAATAATTTCTAATTATACTTCCTTGTTACAACTTCATTATTTTATTATTTTAATATTTTAAACTAATTGTAGAATTAAAAAATAACTATGAAAAAATCATGTTCTTTATTTTATTTAAACTTGTCAGCTGCTCGTCAGTTTATAATCAATTTTTATTTTTTTATTTTTTTTTTTTTACAATTTTTTACGTATTTTTCAAGTTTAAAAATTTCTCTTATTTATTTTATAATTTATGCTTCCATTTAACTTCATTTTCTCTTAGAGTGTATTACTGATGTTAATATCAGTATCAGATAAAAAAAACTTCATTATTTTTTATAATAAAAAATTAAAACAAGTATAAAATAAAATGTTTGCTAATTTTGTCGTTTGTTTTTTTTTTAATTCCACGGAAAAGAATAAAATTATTCATTGAAAAATTCAATTTTTTACTATTCTGAATGTGTTTTGCTTTGCAGGTGCTTGACTTTGATGCACTAGCCTGGTCAAGAGGTCAGCCAGGGACAAGCGCGATCAGCAACGATGGACAGTTCAAGTGTCGGCGGTCGGCGCCGGGTGGCGGCCACGCACACCGTCGAAGACCAGGCCCTCGATCAAATCGCAAAAGAGGTAAGCCTTTTATTTTTTTGTTCAGCTTTTTACTTTGTGAAGACTTATTTGTGTCTCTACACAGCAAGTGAAATTCCTGCACTTATTTGGTCGGCGGTTTCTTGTCTCGGTTTGGTTAGAAAAAGAAAGAATTATCACCACAGGCGGTGCTGCCGCCTGTCGGGTTAATTAGCGCTAATTTTCGGTGCGACCCGAAATTAATTTTGACACTATTTTATATCGTCTGATACTTTGAAAAGCTGGAGATATTTCTAAAAATGAAATCGGTGTGGAAATATTTAAAATATAATAGAAAGTCGAGGCAAATAATTTTCTTGCTCACCTTTTCCCGGTGACGAAAAAGGAAGAAACTGCACGAGAAGTGGTGCTCTTGAGCCAGAGCCACGTGAACGACTGATTGTGAGCGACCGACTTGTCTTTATCTTGAGAAGCCCCTTTACTTTTCTTTTCTTATCTCAAACAAGAGGTGGAGAGGAGAATTTTTAAAGAAGAATCTCTCAAACAAATTTCAGATAAATATTTGCAGAACTTGTCGCCGTAAAAATAAAATAAAGTTTTATTTTTTAAAGCAATTTACAGTTGCGACTGAAACTAATGGAGTCCCTTTTCCGGCGGCTCCATCTGGAAGTCAATCAAGCCAGAGGGAGAGAGGAAGCGTTTTTAGTTTTTACATTTTGCTCCCTGTGGCACAACAAAAACACCCGCTTCTAAGTTTAGACCTCCATTTAATTTGGAGTGAGTTTCTTCCTTTCGGGTGTCCATGTAGCTTCTGGTGCATTCGTTTCCGAGTGCAGAGTGAGATGTCGTGTTTGTGCCGAGGTGCAGCCGGCGACCTGCACGGCGGTGCCCTGGTCACCCTGACGATGTGTGCCGGCGGCATCTTGCTGCTGCTTTACCGAGGTGCTCTCAGGACGCTTCGATCTTTATCCATCTTGCAGGAACAGGGAGTGAGTTGCTTCGAAATTTTCATTTCATATGATTATAATTATTGGAAAATTACATAGATTTTTAAAAAAAAATAAGATTGGTTAAGAAATGCAATAACAAAGGAACTCCTCAAAGCTTAATTTAGTTCTTGATGAACGTTTTCTGCTAACGATCCAAAAATTGTCCCAATAATTTATTTTTAACTGCCATTTTGGCTCTTATCTAAGCTTGAATTTTAGTCTCGAGCCTTTTTTAAATTTCTTTTAAATAATTCATGCGAGATATATTGCAAATTTCGGCGCCAAAGCGGGCTGATAATCTCTCCGTTCCATAAAACATGAGCCGCCGCAAGAATGTACACAACATATTAACTTTTGCTCTCTTTCTCGCTCCCCTTCTGAAATGAATTTTCCCATGGCGCCTCTCGGGATTAACTATGTGTGTTTTAATTTTGAAAGACAACACTTCTTCTCGAGAAAGGTGTGCGCGCGCGAGCGTAATTGTATTGCGATCGGACCTTGGTTCGTGGGAACTCGGCAGGTCTGCATAGGCAACTATAGTGGTAGTACCGACAGACAAGTGCAGACTTTCGGATGTGAGCGCCGAGGCCCGAGGTAAAAATGCATTTCCCTAATTCTCGGCGTGGGTGGGGGCGCCGGAAACGTCGCTTAAAAAAACCGAATACAATCGCAAGACGCTCTTGTTTGTCTCGTGAGTAGAAAGCAAATAGAAATTCACAAACGAAATTGGCGACGCGAGTTGGCCCCGTGCCCGCGAGTCTGCCAAAAGTTCTTCAACATGCGGGAATTTAGCGATTGCCAATGCGCGTCTTTATTGAACTGATCGACTGTAAGATCGCGTTGTTTTTTATTGCTTTTACAAGTTAGTCTCTTCCATGTTGATCTCAATCCTATAACATCTCAAAGAAACGATTCTTTCACATTAAAAAAATTCTTGGATTTATTTTTAAGGAAGAGACAATAAAAATGACTATTATTCAATTAATTTTATTTGTGTTTTTACTTTTAATTATGAAATAATTTAACTAACAACGTTGAATTTTACTACTAAAATTTTCTGGATATCGAGATATTATTCTAACTGATTAGCTACTAAAATATTAATGATAGTTGTGAGAAATTCTTTTTGATTAAATTGATATCCACGGTTGACCCCAATTGGGTGGTTTGACGTTTATTGATCAAATGACAAATATGACTGACAGGGGAAAGTGTCTATAGTATTTCCTACACCCAAGGCAAGGGATCAAAATAGTCTTCTGTTTTTGTAAAAACAAAATTGTAAAAACAAAAACAATAATAACATTTTCTTATATTGTATAAATTAAGCAATGTAAAATTTTAAATATAATATTTAACTAACCTCAATTAATTATATAAAGTCTAGTTACAGTTTAATTATTATTTTTACGCAACTTTCAAATGAGAGTGAAAGAGAAGTGGAAATAATTTACTGTTCACAGTTGAACGAAAGTCACGGCGCACATTCTGGCTTTTTGTTTTTTATCTTATCAATAGAATTGTGAGATAAAAACTTCTGTGTAATATCAAACGTCACTCTCGTTTATTATATTTTCGCCTTTATTAATTCCTCAAGAATTTAAACTCGGATGATAGGAAATTTGCGTCTAAAATCCGCAGCTGGCGGCGGCGGCGCCTAAACGGATATTGATAAATTCACAAAAGCAAGCAGAGAAAGAACGATTTCCGGCCGCCCAAGTGCGACAACAAGCGCCACTTTTGTTCTTCTCTTTGTGTCACTCACACAAATAAATCTGAGGATCGATCAGCGTTCCATTGTTCGGTGCCCCATTCATATTCAAATCAATTGCCAATTAAAGCTATTTTTCGCCACTTCAAGCTTCCGAAGAGCAAATTGGGTGAAAGGCTTAGCTTTTGTACTGCTCATTTCTAAGAAAAATATTAAATTATGTTGATTTAATGTTATAACTTTGTGATAATATCTTCTTTATGCTACAAAAAAAAAAAATGGTTTGAAGTGAATTTTAACTGAAGAAATAATCTTAAGTTATCGATAAAATTTAAAGTTCATCGTTATATAATTTCAAATCCTTCAGTCAAAATAAAATTTCTATACTATTTTGATTTTTCCTTTTACGAAATTTCTTATCACTTTGATTTATTTTCTGCTGCAAGTATTATTTCTCTATAAAGAACAATCTCTTGAGCCGTCAAGTCTTAATTTGTCTCCAAGTCGTTTGAAATAAAAGGCCTTCGCATTATTATTTATTTCCAAGCAAGAAAGCTCGCACTCGAATGGAAGATGGTGCTGATGGCAAGGCCGTCCACATCTCTCTCGCACTCGTTTCTCGTACAATATCGCACGCGACTCGTCCGCCTGCAGCTTGAAAAAAAAAATTAACAGCAAAGTTTGCGATCAAAAAAGGAGCAAAAGAGTGTACGTGTTTCTCAATGAGGCGGGCCTGGCTGCACGATGGTGAATCACACAATCGGTTTTTTTGCTGAATAAGCAGCCCGTCGCGGAACGAGATGGAGGACCCTCGGCTTGGCGCGGCGGCACCAACGTCGACGACACCAATGATGTCATTTTATGCACATACAAAATCTTGTGTTTGCTCAGCTCAAGATCCTTTTCTCGTGAAACGCCTGCCTTGTTACTTCGGCTCGTCTCCAAAAGGAAATTTCAATTCCAGCGGAGGAATCTTCAATTTACTGTTTTTTTTTAATTCATATATTTCATTGTGGACTCGCAGTATGAATTAAGATTAAGGCAGATAAATGGAAATTTAATGGAATCGTGAATTAAAATTAAGTATGAAATTATTTATTAACTTCTTGCTCAAGACTTTTTTGTTCAAAAAAATTCTGTATAGCCAATGATTTTTTTTCCTCTGAGAAATACTAATTTGAGGCAAAGTACTTGAAATTAAAATTAAATTATATGCAATATCAGAAAGTAGACATCTTTTTCAATTGCAGAAAACAGACACAAAAGTGTAGGAAAAACATTAGAGTATCTAAAAAGAGAAGAACTGATTTTGTTGTTGCTCGCCTTTTGCTATTGCAAGGGAATCGAAACAAGCAGGAAACCATATCAGAAGGCACGAGCGTCAACAAATAAGGGATGCACACAGCCCAATTATTGTATTGAGCGATCAAATTGGAGAGGAAGCCAAGTGCCATCAGCCACTTTAATTCAATATCGTTTAGTCGTCGTCCCACGCGTGCTCTCGTACAATAGCACCAACGTTCACTTCCATCCGAACACTTACGTCACCCGACGACGAATAAATGAGCGTCACCCGTTAATATACCTGGTGAGCGAGCGCGCGGTGTGTAACTTATCTATCTCGGCCGGTGCATAATTGGAACGCAGGTGCCGCCTCGTGGGCGCGACCTCGCCAGCTCGAGGGATGAAAAATAACCATTGTAATCGTAATGACCTAATTATGTTTCAATTAAGAATGAAAAGTTTGCAAATTAATAATTTTTCATTAAATTTAAAGTCAACCAAAAACTCGTTAAATTTTAACATCTAGATTAAAAAAAAAATCAGTTGAATTTTACTGACCGATTTTTTTTTAAAACGATAGATTAAAAATTTAACATTTAATAGAGATCTGATAAAAGTTCCTGCTTGCCATTGGCAATGGAAGTGCAGCACCGATTCTCTCTCATTACTGTTATTCGCCCGCCGGATTATCAATATTCCACCTGCGTGTTGTTTCGCTCCAACTTGGCGTTGTTTTTGAAAACAAACGGCTTCGTAAAGTGTCCTCACACAATTGTACAATTATCAGGCGGAAAAATAAATGTTTAGAGAAAATGACACTACCCAGGGTGTCACAATCGGCGTTCTTTTTCAGTCCTGCTCGCGCCTCGGAAAGTGTAAAGACCGTGTCTTGAAGAGCGAGACGCGCCCGAGGCAAATATGAAGCGCTTCAAAAGAGCCCTTGCTTGGAACCCCGCGCAACATTTTTGGCTCCAGGTAAACGCGGAGGAAAAAAACGCATTCGAGGGAAAGAAAAACAGCCAGACAGAAAGAAAAGAAAGAAAATGCATAGGGGCTCCACCGGCACTTCTTCTTTGCTTCCCCTATCGCGCTAAACGCCCCCCTATACAACAAAGGCCGAGTGCAATCCTCCAGGTGATATGAGTCGTCGATTCCCCCTCTTTTGCTTCCCTCCCGTCGGCTTTTTGTTAGTCAGTTCAAGTTTGCGTCGATCGGCGCCCGTCGCGAATTAGTTCTCTCCGTGAATTTGGTTATTTTCGCACTGAAAAATGTGGTGGCGGCGATAATGGAAGTGGAGGACAATGTGGTGGTGGGTTCGGACGCGGGCAGCGACGCCGGCATGGACTGGACGGACGCGAGGGAAAGCCTCACGCACGAGAGCGCGTCGCCGGTCGACCCGCTCAGCAGCGAGTACGAGGAGGTGTTCGGCGCCGACCGCAGTGACGACGGCGGCGGCGCCGAAAGTCCCTCGCCGGACGACAAACCCGATGGTCCCGCGGAAAAGCGGCCGCCGAGTTGCGAGGAGCCCGAGGAACGCGACGACAACTTTGTGGTCGATAGTCTCGGCAAAATTGCCAACGAAGTGAGTCTGCGGCCAAGTTCCTTCCGCCCTGCTATAATTCTAATCTATGCTTCGTATGAAAACAACAACAAAATAATAATATTCTTCAAGACTGATATTGAATGTTGGAGAATTTTTATTTAAATTGTATTTAATGCTCAATTATCGTCACTTTGTTAAAAAAAAATGAAGAGTTTGAAAAAGTTAACAACATGAGTTGAATTTGGTTAGGAAATTTTGTGGAAAATGTTAATTAATTTATTATATAATTATTTTTTTTATATTTGGAAAAAACATTCCCATATTTTCATTAATTGAAACAACCCCAGATATTTCAATGCAATTTTATTCAATATTATTGATTTAAGCATTATAAAGGTGATAAAGGTAATAAAGAAAAATTATTTTTAATTAAACACTGAAAAAAGTAATAATATGGAATTAAATTTTTAGCTTTCCACCTCGGATTGTTTCTTGAAGAAATTAAACATGTTAAATAATAAATGCAATAATCGTTCAAGTCACGCAGCCAGTTAAAAATTATAGAGCTTATTTATTTTTTTCCATCCATTACACAAGACTGCTTTGTTTGGCAATTCTATTAATCTTCATTTAACAAATTTTATAAAAAAAAAAAATTGAAGCAATCTTTTTACATTTCATTTAAAAATTTTACCTCATAATTACGAAAGAATAATATAAAATTTGTAATCATAATTTTCTTTCATAAAATTTTTAACATTTAAAACAAGTGATTTTTCCAGAACAAACATAAGTTCAAAGCAATTTTCCAAGGTAGTCACCATTTAAAAGTAGCAATTTAAAGCTACAGAATTCTTGAAATTCATGTTCAGCTCAAAAAATCCCTGCAATGCGATTCTTCCTTTTCGCTCTACACTTGTAGACTTAAGTGTAGTTACCATATTTTACTAAATTCTGAACATTTGTGCTTGCATTTGTGTTTCAGGCCGAAGCCAGGCTAGCTGCGAGACGGCAAGCGCGGGCTGAGGCGCGGGAAATCCGAATGCGAGAGCTGGAGCGCCAGCAGAAGGAGTCGGAGCAGTCCTCTGAGAGCCCTATGTACCCCCTTTCACCTGCTGAAGTCAAGCAGCAAAAGTTAGGTAGGGTTAAAAAAAAAAGCAAAACCATCAAGAATGGTCTCTGAAAATTAAAATTCTTTCAGACTCATCTGCTGTCCGAGCGCGGGTCGCCGTCAGCAGCCAAAGGTCGCTCTTGTCAACGCAGCCGTCCAACTACCAGTCGAGCAGACGCTCCTCCGAAGACTCAATGGAGGACGGGCTCAGTTTACGGGACATGAGGGTATGATCAACTTTGAATGAAGTTAAATTTGTGTATTAAAATTTTGGTTTCTCGAGCAGCAAGAGATGAAGGATTTGGACGAAAAGTTTAAGAAGGCGATGTTTCACAATGCTCAGCTGGACAACGAAAAAGCCTCGTTTTCTTACCAGGTCGAGTTGCTTAAAGACCAAATTGAACAGCTCGAAGAGGCGCATTTTCTTTTACAAGTGAGTTGGTAGCCAAATTCTAAATTATCAACAACAATTTGATATTAAAAAAAAAAATCAAATTAATTTTCCTTTCTAAATTGAAAATTCACAATAAATAAAAGAGATAATTAATTTCTCAACTTTTTTGGTTTGTAGGAACTTATATTAATTATTTTTAATGTCAATTTGTTTTTTGCAGAAAGAGCACAGGGACAAGTGCAAGGAGTATGGCCAACTAAAGCGCGACTCGGACAAGGTGGTAGAAGAGCGGGATGTTTACAAAGCGCAGTTGGAGGAGCGGGACAGGTTGATCCAAGAGGCCGGTCTAGTCATTGTGGGTGAGGACTACGTGTCAAGTGAGGAGGAGGACAGCGACGAGGAGGACGAGGACAGCGAAAAGAGCGCAACGCCGCCCAAGCAGCGGAAGGCGCTTGTCTCGGCAGACAACGCGCAGCTGCTTGACGCAGCAGGTCAGGGTTCGCTGGACGTCCGGCTCAGACGATTCAAGGAGGAGCGCGACGAGCTGCAGGACCAGGTGCGACACCTTAAACTCGAGCTTGAGGAGGAGAGGAACCGAAACCTGAAGGGATCAGTTGGCTCAACGTACAGTGTGAATGGCCCTAATGACGACGAGATGGACTTGCAAAGTGAGTGTTTTTTAGGTAGAAATTTTCTTCAAATTCTAATTTTTTTATCAATTATATTTTACTTTATACCAATGTAAACATGGATTGGATTTTAAATTTTAATGTTTTTTTTATAGGAGAAGCGTCGAAACAGCTAGGCGACTACAAATTCAAATTGCAGAAGGCTGAGCAGGACATCTCGACGTTGCAAGCCAATGTAAGTATGGAAAAGGTTTTCTGTGTAAAAATGAAAATCTCTTCTCGCTTGGTCCGAGTCTCTCTGGATTGCTTTAATTCGTTGTCCGTGCTAACCCTTGCTTTTCCGGCTTCTGTCAGGTCGCGCGTCTTGAAAGCCAAGTGCTGCGTTACAAGACTGCCGCCGAGACGTCCGAGAAGGCCGAAGAGGAGCTCAAGACAGAGAAGCGCAAGTTGCAGCGCGAGGTGAGTTCCCTCGATAGAAAAAAAATCAGTCCGCCCCCTCTACTTTTGCACTTTTTGCTTTCTCTCGTTGGTACAGGCATGTCCGGTGGTGGGCGTTTGATTTTTTTATACATACATTCTTTTACTTCTATCTTTTGATGTCTGGAGGTCTTAATTTTGGCAATGTGCTTGGAAATAGGTTAGAAATGCCCAGCAGCGCATTCAGACCCTCGAGGCTAACAACTGGGCACTGCAGAAGCAAGTAAATCGGCTCAAGGAGCACCCTTCGGCGGCACCGCGATAGTGGTAGTTAGAAAACACAAAACACGCATTTTGGCTCAGCTACTAACTCCAGATATATTTTTTAATCATCTTCTTGCACGAGACTTGCGCACTTGCTTAAATTTTATTTATTCACAATTTCACACGCACGTTTATTACAGCAAAATTTACATGGAAGGTTTGGGTTCGTAAATGACGACCTTTCGTAACAATTTCTGTTGCTTAAAAATTTTCTTCTGTAGATAATCTTTGAAACTGATTTATAATATTTAAAACTTGGTTATTGGTAATTGCAATCACTGTGGATTTTAAGTGTAGCTACTTAAAACTTAAAAAAATAATTTGATAAACTATTCAAAAATCAAATTGATTGTAAAGTGCCAATTTTCTGATAGGAAATTAAGTAAATGGAAATAATTTCCCTGTGGTCAATCTGACAAAAAATAATAACAAGCAGAGATCACAACTGGTTTTTGGTTGTTCATCTCTAATAAAAATCCCTTTGCTTAGTCAATCTTAATTATTTTCAGTTGCATTGACGAAAATCTTCAGCTGAGCAAAATTCATTACACTTCTTGAAGCTTCCACTAAACATTTTATTTTAGCTCTCACAACATTCCTGCTGACCAAATAGAATCTATGTGAATCAAACTACACCTTGAACAATAATATTGATTCGTTTTGTAAAAACCGCTTTAATCTTTAAACTGGCATTTCAATTAAGTTTCTCGACACTAATCTTACGTTTTTGGCATTTCAGCTGCGGGAGGCGCAAGTACGGGTAGAGGAGCTGGACACTCAGAATACGCATCTGGTGCGGAGACTAGACAAGCTCAAGAATGCAAAATCAACCCTGTTGAAGGAACTCTGACAATGAGCTGAGCCGCCGAGGCCGCCGAGAGACTCTTTTCGAGTGACCACAATTGTTTACTGGTGTGAGGGTGAAAAAAGACTTTCCCTAATCTTGTCAAGTCCTCTCCGAATTAAAAACCAAACCGCTGTTGTTGACTCGCGGACCTTTCTGTTGCAACAAAAAATTTGCTCGTGAGAATTTCGTTTTTAAAATCTCGATTCGTTTCACAAAGTATATTAAAGAGAACGGAAAAAAAATACTTAACAATTAGTAATATTGAATCTTTTCCAAATAATACCAGTTTTATGGACATCATAAGTCTGTGATTATTGATGAACTTTTTTAATTGTATATGTTTGATTGGCGCTTTTTGTATAGCAGGATGTAAGTGTACACATTTTAACAGCTTCTCGCAATAATTATATTATATTATTATATATGTATTTAACGCGCGGTTAACTAAAATGTTGTGTAAATAATTAACCGAGAGTAAGAAAGGGAACGAGCCAAATTGATAACGGATTTGGAGCCAGCCATATGTAATTGTAGGTGCAACAACAATCGTTTTGTAAAAGAATGAAAAAATAATAGGAATGAAAATCGCTTCATCACATCATATCCATCACACTGGAATATTACGTACTCTATTTTAATTGTAAAAACGTGCATGCAGTTCTCGTCTGTTTTTATTCCGACCAATTTCGTTTTTGTTGAACTGTTATTTGACAACATTCTCTTCTCGATTCCAAGTAAGTGTCGCCCGAAATCTTTTATACCGACTGCAAAGTTCTAACTTATTCTGGTATTATGTTGGATTGTTGAGTAATGAAAATATTAAAAAATTTCTAAAGCTTATTCAGTATTTTTTTTAATTCAGTGAACACAAAATTAAAAAATATTAAATATTAAATCCATTAATTTCCTTGTTATTGTAAGTAAATAAAACAAAGTAACAAATGTTTTTATCGGTAAAGTTGTGTAAAATGTAAAATTCGAATTATAAAGTGACCTGGATAATATAAATCCAGCGCGGTTCGGTATGTTCAGCGCCGCCCCTGGAATTGTCGGTCGGCTGGAGAACCACTGCATGCTTCGAATCAGTTGTTTTGAACTCGATGTGTCACACGATTATTTAGGTTTAGAGCAGAAGTTGTCGTCTATTGCGATGGGTCCAGTTATGTGACAAATTAAAAGCCAAGCCATGAAGCCCGTGATCGACCTCGAAGAGTGCCTGAGAGACTCGCCCAAGTTCAGGTCAGCCGAAAATCTGCAAAATCACTGAACCCCATCAAAAACAACTTCCTTTGATATCACCAAAAAAGCGGTGTTCTCATCTTGACATTATTCATTTTGACCTTCATTTAAAATTTGAAACATAAAAAAAGATCTATCCACAAAACTCAATTCTAAGAATTGGCATTTATCTCATTAAATCTTTACTTCAGGGCGGACTTGGAGGAGCAGGAAAAAATCGTCGAGAATTTAGAGCAGAGGTTGGATAAGGTAATTTGCATAATTATTTCTAAAAAATTCCAGAAGTTTAAAATATGAAAAAAATTCAACATTTTAATTTTATTTTAGGTGCTGAAAACATGCAGTGCTATGGTGGATTCGGGAAAAACTTATGTCGGAAACCAAAGGTACATTTTTTTTATATTATTTTTTAAATAAATCTAATTTTTGTAACCCTTTCTTGAAACAGCCAATTTGCAATAAGTCTGCGGGAGCTGTGCATCCACTTTGGCCAGGACACGGAGATGGTGACCCCAGTGACCAAAATCATCCACTCTCTGCAAGAGATGAACAAGTTCCACACCATCCTTCTCGATCAGGCATCACGGACCATTCTCAAAAGTCTGAACGACCTGATAAAAAAGTAAGCATTTACAAGTGTTTGATACTCAGGAGATTTTGTTCTCCAATTTTACAGGGACATCAAGGCCATCAAAGACTCCAAGCACCACTTCGAGAAGATCTCAAGCGAATACGACGCATGTGTGGTGCGAAATTCTCAGACTTCCAAGAATAAGTTGCAAGAGGCCGAGGACTGTTTCAACATGCTCAGCGCCATCCGTTCGGGCTTCCAGTACGAAACACTCAACTACATTCAAGGCATCAGTGTTCTCAATAGCAGGAAAAAGCATGAAATCCTTGGAACGGTACACAATATTTTATTTATGAAATTCCTCTATGCAAATTTTTATTTACATTCTAGTTGCTCTCGTACATGCAGGCTTGCAGCACCTATTACCATCAAGGGTCAGACTTGTGTGAGGACCTGGAGCCCTTTTTCAAAAAATTAGGAGATGATGTAGATATTTAATTATTGAAAAGAAAATAGGATTGTATTTATTTGTGGGTTTGATTTAGGTGGGGAAAATGCGAACCGACTCAAACAAACTGGAAAAGGAAATGGAGAACATGCACTCACTGGTCAGCAGCAAGGAGAAAATTCCCGAAAGTGGCATGAGTGGTTATCTGTTCAAGCGAACGTCGAACGCCTTTAAAACTTGGAACCGGCGCTGGTTTTGGCTCCATGACAATCAACTTGTCTACAGAAAAAGAACTGGTAAAATGAACATTTTTCTTATTACGTTTTCCACCAATTGCTTGAAATCAAGGTGAGGATACTTATACTGTGATGGAGGAGGATTTGAGGCTTTGCTCGGTGCGGTATGTTCATGACAACGAGCGACGATTCTGTTTCGAGGTGCTCTCTCCCAATAAGTGAGTCTTCTTTCTGTTTTGAATAAAAACTTTTCAATTATAGAAAATAATCAAAGAAGATTTGTTTGATATTTATTTACATATATTTTAAAATATTCAAAAATAATATTATTTTGCCCAAGTTTGCCGAGACGTGGATGTAAAAATGTGTTTTAATTCATTTTGTAAATTTCTAGGACTCATATTCTACAAGCCGACAGTGAGGAAATGTTGCAAGCGTGGGTGACCGCCCTACAGCAAGGCATCGGCGCCGCCTTCCAGAGAACCATGGAGGGCGACCTGAAGCCGTTGAGCAGAAACTCTAATAACTCTTCGCCCTCACCAAAAAGCAGGTCTAGGTCTCCGAGTAAAACAGTCCAAAAGGAAGAGCAAAAGAAACCAAGGTATTTCAGAAAAAGGCTGAAAAAAATTAGGATCATTATCTTTTTATGTTGCAGAATTAGAGAAATAATTCTTAAAATTGATGGAAACTCTGCCTGCTGTGACTGCGGAAGTCCAAATCCTCAGTGGGCCAGCATCAATCTCGGAGTGACTCTATGCATTGGTAAATTTAATTATATTTTATGAATTTCTTTTGAAATTATAAATTAAATTAATTTTCAGACTGCTCCGGAGTTCATCGTAGTCTCGGCGTGCACTACAGTAAAGTTCGATCCATCACCTTGGACGATTGGGAGCCTGAAATAATAAAAGTGATGGCTGAGTTGGGCAACACCATTGTAAACAAAGTTTACGAGGCCAAAGTCACTCCCGAGCACACCCGTGCTACCCCCAACTGTCTAGGGTAAGGATTTATTACTATTACTTTTTCAACCAAGTTAGTTAATTAATTAATTTACAATTACATTTACATTGCAGTGGAATTCGTGAGGCCTGGATTAAGGCAAAATACGTGGACAAGATGTTTGTAAAACAATTGGACACCCAGGCCAGGTCAAGATACGGAAATCCCGCTGTCAGAAAGTGGAGTGTCCGGAAATTGAGACGTCGACCCCGAAGTCAGGACGGCCATCGCAAAGTGGCCAGAAGCAAACCTGTGAAGCTCCGACCAACCACGGAGGAACCTTCGAGCTCTTCTCCTGTCGAACCGATTGAGAAAGCAGATTTTGAGCCCTCAGAGAAAGCAGAGGTGCTTCTGTTTGGCCAAAATCTGGTCGACAGACAGAACTTGGCTCTGGAAGAACCGATCGACCTGAGCAGTGGCGAAGACTCGACTGCCGGTGACGAAGACGAAACCGCCGAGGAGGAGGACATTTCCACTCTTCACCCTGACAGGCTCCTCTACAGGGCCGCGCAGGCCCACAATCTTCCTGTCATGTGTGAGGCCCTGGCTCTCGGCGCAGACAAGCAGTGGATCAACGTAGAGGACAATGCTCGCTCTGCCATTCACCAGGCCGTTCTCAGTGTAAGAAATTTTCAAATGCAAATAATATGTTGATGTTTTCAAATTTGGTATTTTGCAGGGGTCTGTCATGGCGTGCGAGTATTTGATAATGAATGGTGCCAAAATCAATGTGCAGGATCAGGACGGAAAGACGCCTTTGCATCTTGCAGTTGAACAAGGTTTGTTAAATTTCATTTCATTTACATAAAGTAAAAAAAGGGTAATTGAAAATTGACAAAATTCACCCGTTCACGGACCTGTTTAGAGCTAATTTGAATCAATTTGAATATTAAAAAGATTGTGAAATTTAAATATGATTGAATATCTTTTACCATAAGACTCATATTTTTCATTAGTTTTTTATTCTTTTAGAACCCTTGCTTAAAACTTATTAATAAATTACCTTTTAATTTGTTGACCACGTGTTTTCATCTATTTATTGTTATTAATTGATTTGTTTTTCTCATTCCATTGAGAGAGAACAATATATGAATTTTATAATTCTGCTGCTCAGGTCATACTGCTCAGGTGCTGCTGATGTTGAAACACAGCGCTGACCAGAACATCAAGGACGCGCAGGGTCAGGAGCCGGTGACAATTGCTGTCCAGAAAGCCAACGCTGACATCGTCACGCTGTAAGTTTTATTCTCTGCCATTTTTCCACTATATTCCCGCCCTTTTTTCTACAAAAACATTTTTTTAAACATTGTATCATAGGTTGCGACTGGCATCTTTGAATAAGGAGATTCGAGAGTCGGAGAGTGGCTCGCACGGTGACGCCACCTTCAATGACGTGGTGCGTGACTTCTCCCTGATGGCCTACAACCACCCCGAGCGGCTGCATCGCAACGCCAACGGAGACCTGCTCTCGCAGTCCGAAGAGCCGGACGCAAGCTAAGTGCCCTACTACTCGTTCGTCTATTCTAAATCATGCCAAAATTTGTAGTGTCGACATGAATATATTTTGATAGCATTTACCGCAGAAAGTGACGCCGTGAAGAGTTTGTAAACCTCACGTTTTTAGATCTGAGAACTTTATTCTGTGATTCGACGCAAACTTTTTTTTATTCCGGTTTTATTTTGCTTTTTTAACCAAACACATTCCGTTGTATGTTATTGCAATTATTACACAATATATATTAATAATATTTATCCGAGTGCGTTAATTCTGCCAGTTTTATTTCCGAACCGAAAACGACATTTGTGGAGTTCGATTAGTCTCTTTATTTGAAGTGGTTCTGCGCACATCCTCCTCTCGCGACTCCCTTGACCCTTTTTTTCTTTGATGTACGTCTTACTCGGGTCGAAAGGTCGAACTGCGCATCGGCTCGTATCTTTTTTCTCTCCATTGAACACCCGCTTGTTAAGACGCGCGCGCCAAAATCCCAAGGTTCAATCACAATAATCAAACAAGCGAGTTGCTCTGGCAGTTGTTTTTTGTGTGTTTATTATCATATTTCTCTCGTCAACAAAAATACTGCGATCCAAGCATGTTTTTATACACGTGAGTCTTTTTCTATACAGCAAAGCAATTTATTTTGTATACGATTCCTGTCGCGCTCGTTTTTTTTAAAGTCATCAAAGACTCGGACAGAATAAAATCTCTTTACAATATCATCATAAAAGAGAGCAGAGCGACTTTGGCCAAACCAGCAGCCGGTCCGTGGGCAGGAACTGTCAGCTTACGATTACAATTGTACTTTTCTCGATTTGGCCTCGGGATTTTTTTCCTTATAAATTTGACAATTTGATCTTCGCACTCGAAGGAAGCGAGTCGCTCTGCTGTTCGGATGTTCGTGTTCGCAGAGGCTAATTTCGTCTTAAGTACGTTTCACATTTCGTGTTCAACTCTGCGTCGGTCCGATTAGATCGAGCGGCGAAAAATACTGAACTTTCTTTTCTCCTCAATAAATATACATATTTCTTTTGTTTTAACATGATCGGGATGTAAAAAGAAGGGAATAACTTAAATGTCTATCTAACCGCAACAATGATAGTTGTTGTTGAAAAGAGGGAACTCGGCGCGCGCAATCAACGTGAGCGTCTAGAGTCTTGTGACGAACTGAGGAGGATCTCTAGCGGCCGCGACCGAGCCAGTGTCCTCATCTGGACCAAGAGTGTTCCTGCGTGGGCGTGCTGGCCGGCGCCTCGCGGCACTTGTACACATACGCTTTCGTCGACAGGTCGTCGTTAGTCCGCAGACACTTTTTGTTCTCCGAGCACCGACACCTGCAAATCAAAATAAACAAAATCGATTAATTTCAGGAAAAACAACAATAATTTAAAAATTTACAGAAATTAGTTTGATGTAAAACCATTTTTCAAAGGGGAAGACTTGAGCTTTTAAATTATATATCACTTGACCAAATTTGGTTTGACTTTCAAAGTTTCATCTTAATTTTATTTAAAATGCATTTTGGATGTGGGTTAGAAATGCACCAATTGAAAAAAGCTCAGGTCAAAAGGACTCAATAAATGACCAAAACACAATGAACAATTGTGAGAAAATGACTTTTCAAGCTATTAAACTTTTTTATTTGGCTCAAAATTACCCCCACTACTCTGCTTTTTTGGGCACTTGCAATTTGATATTCCTTCATATTTTTATCCATTTTTATTTTTTCACTTTAGAGCTCTTATTGTTTTCACGTTGACCTTTTCCAACATGGAAGTTAGTGTTTTTTTTTTTTTTTTGGTAAGTTTAATTTAGAAATCATTTACTTTATTAAATAATAATTTGATTAATTTCTCATCCGACTCGTCAATGCAACTTACGTGTTTCTGAGGAAGTAGTTGATCTGACGCGTGTACGGTTCATAGACGGCCCATCCGCACGGTGTGCTAAAGTGGCATATTTTGTCCTGGTCAGACTCCTTAACCGAGTGGTTGCTGCTGCCTCCAGCCACGGCTCTCTGCAACACAATCAAATGCCACTCCAATTAAGGCCGCAATACCGAATAAGCTCGTTCGTTAAAGTCTCTCTTTATTTCTCTCTCAAGTTTCCTCTCGCGCAAATAGAAAGAAAAGAAGAAGTCCCGCATGCCCTCTTTTGTTTTGTTTTCGCGAACCCAGCAGCTAGTTTGGTTTCGGTTTTCGCCTCCTTTGTCACTTTGATTAATGCGCAGTTAAGTGGTGATGGTAATATAATAAAAAATGTCAACACGCAGCTCACTAGTATGTATAAAAAAATAAGATGTAAAGAGACAAACAATGCAGGAAAAAAATTGTAAAAGGGAGGGGAATGTTGTTCTTGTCAAGAGATAGAAAGATGTCACAGGTCAAGTTTCTTTTCCTCCGCAGCGCAATTACGCCGAAAACGGAGATAGAAGTGAGAGTAAATAGTGATTTAGTATTCATGGAGCTGCACTCTCATCAGCGAATAGAGAGAGAAATGTGAAGAATAAAAATCTCGGTAAACAGCAATTTTCACGCTCCCGAGAATAACACAAAAGAGTTGAGTCGGAAGTGAGGATTGACGTCAGTTAAAATAATTTCCCGTGAAATTAGAAATTCTCGTTATATTTACGCAACAAATATTAATTTTTATTTGAAGTAAATTTAAAAAAAAAATCAAAATATTTCAATTTTCAAGAATTTAAATTTTAACGAATATTAAAAAACCTAAAGAAAATCAAGTTAATTTCAATTTTCATACAAAGTGAGAACTAAAGTTGATTCCAATTTTCAAATAAAAAGAAATAAGTACCTTCGCAATAGTTGCCGAGTGGACCGAGCTGAGCAGGGTGGCGACGGCCACGCAGAGGCCGACGACGATGATTGCTGACTGACCCTTCATGGTGTCTCTCTTCGTTTGTCTGAAAAATTCGCTGTCTGCGGTTCTCCAAGTCGGACGGCAAATTCTCTGTGACAGTTGCTGGTGCGGCCTGTATTTATAGGGAACGCGGGCAGGACCCGAGGAGGGGCTGAGCGGGGTGGGAGCGCGGAGCCCCCGCGAGGAAAGCGAGCGCCTGGTGGGGCGGCCGCGGTCGGTCGGTCGACCGCGCGCATCCAGCACCGCTGCTTGCTCGTCTCTATGATTGATGACCGGTCGGCCGTCCACAAACGAGCCACTTCTTGGAATCGGTCACCGATTTTCCTCCTAACTAATTGGGACACTTTGATCTGCTCGCGATGGGGTTGACGATAAAAAGGGAAAACGAGACGGCGGTCGACTTGTTTAATTTGTTGAGGAAAAGATGAAAGGCTCCGATTTGGTTTGATTCACACTGTGACATTTCCTCAAATTCTTTAGTCTCTTTTAAAAGATTAAATAAAAAAAGATATCCAAATTCAAATAATCATAAAAATTTTAGATTTTGATTCAAGTTCTAATAATGTTTTTGTTAGTTAAATCAATCTGAAAAGTCAATCAAAGGTTAAAAAATTATGTAATTGATTAATGAAGTCATTTTTTCAATAAAATTATCTTAAAGTACCTTGCAGTGAAATTAGGATATTTCAGTTAATCAAAATATTTTATTATGAGAGCCAAAACTTGAATCTTCCTACAAATTAAAAAAAAACTAGCATTTTTCAAAACCTATCTAACAATAAAACAGATCAAAACATGTCTCAACTAATTTATTAAGTTATGGATAAACTGCAATTAAGTTGAAAAATTCAAAGTTGCTCAATTATAAAAAAAAATCTGGATCTCCAGATTATGGTTTTTAGAAATTTTGAAACTTATTTTCTTTTGAATTTTAAAATTGAATAATAAATTTTCAAACCTAGCACATTTTCAATAATTGCGCGCAGTTTAAAGAAAGAAAAGACTTGCCTTAAAATAATTGTTTTTCACATTCATTGAGTTTTGATATGTTTAATAACAATTATCTTAATTAAAAATTATAAATATCCTTTTAATCAACCCTTTAAACTGTTGTTAATTAAAGCTTTTGTCTTCGCACTAATCAAAACTTTTGTGTCTGCGACTCAATTTAAAAAAATTCGCCGTCCAGCAACAAAGGAACGACGCACTTTTGCCGATTGCGCACAATATTTGATATTTGTTTTTTATTTTCGCTGCGCAACTCAAGTGTTTGCTGTCAGTTCGTTGTTTCGCGACAAAAAACAAAGAGCGCAGGTGGCGTGTAGTAAAGGGGCTCTGCTAATTGTGCATGCCGGCGGTGTGTTCAAGGCGTGGTGCATCGAGCAGCCAATGGTGCGGCCGCGCCGATGCAGCGCAGCCTCGTGACTCGGGTCACGTTATTTCATTCTTAAGTGCCCCTCTCTCTTTATCTGCCCCCTTAATTGACGCCGCGCTTTGTATCGAACGAGATCTTTACTCAAACACGCAGTCACACAAAAAAGTGAGAGAAATCTTCTCAATTCATTTTTTTTTCTATAAAAGAATTCGTGGAAAAAAGTTGTACTTTTTGCTCTCGATTGACGTCAGCACCGGAGATTGAAAATTAAGCCGGCGGAGTTCCGAAGCTCTTTGTTACGCAAACGTAGGCTTCTCCACGAAAGCCTTGGCGCGGCGAGTTTTCATTGAAACAAAGGAAAACAAGTTTGGTACTAGATGCTGTTGGTTCACCGTCATTCACAAGAAGTTTCAGGAGTTAATTTCCTGCACTGAAACAAAGAAAACTGGTCTAGGGCTTAAGATTACAAATTTAATAATTCTTTTACAAATTGCGTGTCTTCAATGTAACCCGAAAAAACGCCAATAACTTATAAACCATTTCAGCCAAATAATAATTGCTCAAATCATAAGATGTAATAAACAAAATACATAACAATTCACAATTTCATTTGTTCACAAATAATACTCAAATGTTAATCAGCCAATTAAATATGAACATCAAAATAGAAAAATCACCTAGACGTGAAACAGAAATGTAAGAAATATACAACTTTTGATACATTCATATAGATATAATTTATTTAGAAATTAATAAAATTAATTAAACTTCTTCAAAACGTAAAAAACGTTATTAATCCTATTCTTTTTTTACGTTTTATCCGTATTTTCTTTTTTTTTGTTTTACAAATTTTTTGCAATTATAATTAATATAGAGCTTTTAAATAAGATCTTCAAGAACAACTTTTAATTTACATTTTGATCTTCAATAATTTAAGTTTTTAATGATTCTTGTTCTTAGTTAGAAAAGTTAACAGCAATTTTTGGTTATTTGCAAATAAGAATATGTAACATGTATTTTTTCAAAAAACACTATTGAACTTGTTTACTTTCATTTGATTTTTTAACTTTTGCTAGCAATGAAGTTCATTTTTACTAAGTATGTGTGTGCATGGAGAGGAGTAGTTTTGCGGAGAGAAATCCAACCCTAAGCGTGACATAAGGAGGGTTTCTCTTATTCCCCTTTGTGATGCCGCGTAACCGCGACACCTGCTCTCCTCTAAGCACCGACCGCACCAACGAGCAGCAAAAATTGCGTCAGACGGATATTCCGTAGCCTCGAATCTTCTCGGGAGAAAAAGTGATTTGACCCTTTAACTCTTCCGAATTACCCAAAACCGTCAATTATGCGATACCGATCTGCACATTCCTCCATTCTGGAGTAAGGAAAAATATTAAAGTGTGTGAAAATTTTCAGAAGCAACAAGTGCATTCGCTTGCATCAGCCGCGGGAGAGAAACCGCTGACTGCATTAAAAGTGCAGCTCTAGCAATTAGATCAGAGGAGAGCGACGACACTCGGTCTGTTCAGGATAGATCATGTATAATTCAATGCACACCGGCCTTAATTGCTTTGAAATTAAGCATTCGTGGCACGCAAATCTTACGCGGAAGAGTGAATTCAATAAGGACTTTCATGAGGTTGATATAAATTAAAAAGCCAGACATTATAAGATATTATAAATTTCAATGAAAAAATAAAATTATTTTTTACTTAAAACAGATTTATATCTTATTATGTTTTTGAAATCAGTGATCAATGGATTTATGATTTATTTTTAAATAAATTAGAGGTTTTTTTGTCACTTAAAAATTGCTGTTTTTGATGAATAATGAATTGATCATCTAATTACCTCTTTTGAATAAAAAAATCTATCACAAATGTCAGACAAAATACGTAATTTTTTCTTATTTAAACTGGAACACCATGGACCACATAATTTCAGTTATAAATTTTTCCCAGACTCATTTACATTAAATCACCTTATTTTCCTAAACGTCTGTTTTATACTAAAATCTATTTAGATGAATTTTTCTAAAATTTTGTTTACTTATCTTGAATGTTTACAATTTAAAATTTTCAGTGCTGGTTTTGTTTTTGGAATTTGAAGGTGCGCCCATAGACTGATTGCATACTCGGGTGATCCACATTCAATAAAAGAATGCGAGTTTTGCCTCAATTTGGAACGCTTGGCTAGGCTTAATTACGCGTCTCGCGCTCACTCATTTTTGTGAAAGAGCCTAGTGGTGGGTTTCGATTGGTCGTTGAGAGTCGCGTGACAGGAGGCTCGTTCAACAATAGCGCAGTATAATGACCGACTCAATTTAAGTACTTATTATGGTAGGGGAATATTTTTATTATATTTTATTTGTAATTCATCTGTGAATATATTACTAAAAATAATTAATAAAAAGTTTGAAAAAAATCGACGAAAACGAATAAATAAAATCACATTCGTCTGTCTATATTTTTTAGTAAAAGTTCAAAACTCGGATGAAATTATTCCTTCAAGCCTTATAAGTTTTATTTTATATGAAAAAGGATGGTTGAAAAATTATAATAAAAAAATACTGAATGGTGAGATTTTATTGACGTCATCAGGCCCCCAATTTGGGCTGCAAGTTAACCTCTGGAGCGAAGCATGACTTTCTAGCAATGAATCTTGGGCTGATGTAACATAACGGAGATATTTCGCGCCGATTTTCCTGCTTCGTGGAAGCCAATTGCTTTTCGCGTACACTTGCAAATTTAATAGCCACCCCGCGGCGATTCCGATTGCAAAGTGCGTTTGCAATCAGCAACTCTTTCTTTCTTCCTTTCTTTTTTTATTATTCCTTTGTTTCATCCCATTCTCCTGCTCGACTCGGATTACCTGAATTTTTATATTTTTAGCCAAAGGCGAAACCGCACCGCTTATTTATGGAAACCGCACCGCTCGACCTAAAATTAATTGAATGCGTTCCGGCCGAGTGGCTTTCGTTGACGCCCTCACGTCGATCTGCTTCTGGTGTGTTGGCGCATGCAAAATATTTACCACCATTATCGATCGAGAGTAAATTAAAAAATATACGCCGAGAGTGAAAAACAGGCTCAAAGGTCGCCGCTTCCGAGAAGGCACGCGAAAAATAAATATAATACTCACGCTCAACAATTGTTAAATGCATCAATCGTGGAGTAAAATTTAAACTGTTTGTTCTTGCGTGTAATTTATGTTACACTTTATTTTACTCAGAAATCCAATATATTTCAACACTTACTATTTTACTATTGAGTAGTAGTTCTTCAAAACAAAAATTAATTTTGTTTCATAAAGGGTTGATTATTTAAAAATGGGACAAATTGTTATTTCTTGTTAATTTTTGAAACCCTAAAAAGAAGAAATTTTGTTCGAAAACGCAAATATTTCTTCCCCACTCTAAAATGTTTGAAAATCCTTGAAACTCTAAACAGATTTTTCTTCTAGCTACACTTTGTATACTTTCTACCTTTTGACCTTATACCTAAAGAAAGACCAGTGGCCAGGTGCATTCAAAATTGAAATTTGTGAAGAAAAAAAAAATCAAATTTTCTCTAATGCTCCATGTAAAAGTTAAATCTGAGAAACCATCATCGCTTATTTTACTGGGGGATTTTTCTTTGCCTGCTGATATTTTCTAATTTTAAGAAAGCAGTAACAACTTTTCTACAATGGTTCTTACATTTATGGTAGAGGCGGAATGTTGATCAAGCATCAGCTTATTATTTAATGCTCTTCAATGTCAAATTTAAAAAATAATATTTTGGTTTTTTAACAATTCGTGACATGGAAAACTAACACACTGACACAGTGACCTATGTGTGCATTAATACGCTTATTATTAGAGTCCACATTCAATCGATCCCCTTTATCTCCTATGCAGATTTGGCCAAACTCGAAAGTTCCCAACGATATATTTTTTTTATATTCAGCCATGATTATTTGAGGCGATTTTGTTTACTCAGCAATCTTAGCTTTTTTGTAGAGAATCAAAATTTATTTTTAGGGTTACAGTAAATTTTAAATAATGTATGAAAAAGATTGAAAATTCTATGCAAAATATACGTTTTTTATTAAATTTGAATACCTGCTTTTATCAAATTTTTTCTTTCCAAATTGAGTTAGATATTGTGAAGTTTATCACATTTATTTTTCACATTTATTATCGTGTTTAAAAATATTTGAAAATACTAACACAGTGACCTATATGTGAGTCACCACAAGGCTTTCTTGCAATTGATGCGATCCCAGGAAAACTCAAAAGAAGATTATAGTTGAACTCAAAAGTTCTGATCTATATCTACTTTTTCATTTTAAACGGGCATGTTGTTGATTGTCATGAAAATTCAAATTTTACTGTTGTACTTATGATTAGGGCAATGTAATTGACACATTTATTTTACTGATATTTATCACAAATTTGTATTCAACAATAAATTTCTTTGGGTCGATCTAACTTCAAAAAACTGCTCTCCTAGAAATTCAAATGTTTCGGTTGATTAATTTAAAATCAATGGTATCATAAGCATCAAACAATTATCTTCAATTTTTATTTATTTTTTTAATAATTTTCATACGAAATTTCAGGAAATTGCAGCATTGACAATTCAATGACGTTTACCATACATCATCATAAAGTGCAAAATAATGGTATAATAATTAAAGTAAGATTTCAACTAATATTAAACACTTCATCTGCATTAAATTTGTTTTAGCACTGCCGTAATGCGCTTCAAATTTCCAGAAAAAAGTATTGAAAGTATGAAAATTTAAATGCTTTGAATTTGATTTATTCGATACTAATAATAAATGCTTTTGTTATCTATGAAGTTGCTTGCCAAAGTTCTTTTGTTTGGGCAACCTTTTCACCATGGGGTCATCCATCGGTGCTGCTGGGTGCAGTCATTCATTTGTCATTTGCTATTGTTCGAAAGTGTGTGTAGCGCTGCGTGTAATAATGATAATTTGTCTAGTGCGTAGAAAGAAAATGAAACTGGATCTAGCCGACGTGGGGGGCAGTGGGCGATGACGCGCTCCGCGTGAGTATGTGTGTGTGTATTTATGTGTTCACATTTTTTTCCTCGAGCTGCCCCTTAGGTTGATTGGCCTCTATTGTTTCTTAATTGTCGGCGCACTATTTTCCTTCTACGCACTTTGTCGCGCGCGAGCGTCGCAATGGTTGCATAAGTCACAGGTGCCCCCCCTTCATCTCGGCCTCTCTGGCCAGACATAATCCAAACCAGATCCAAACAAATAAAAAAGAATCGTGGAAACTTATTAATTATTTTAGAACAGTGAATTGAACTTGAAAAAAATATGTATTTCAATAAAAGGATTAAATTAAATTTCTTTTAAATCATTTTTTTATAGGAAATTTTAAACTCTTTTATTGATTGTTTCAATTTATATTCTAATCAAATAAAAAGGTCAACGACTTAAATCACGGCCGACTTGTTTGCTGCTTACAAAGTCAACTGACTCATCGAACGAAAATCGCCTGTTTGCAGATTGGGCAAACTTGTGCATACTGAAGCACTTTATAAATAATTTTTCCACTCCATCTGCTGATTTTGTGCTTAAATTTGACTAAATTTAAATCTGATCTGTTTCAATCGATTTAGAAAATTCTAAAAACTTGTATTAGTTTCATTTATTTATTGAGTTAAAAATCGCAGAAGCTAAAATTATTTCAGCTCTTATTTATTAAATTTTTAAAGCTTTTAAAGAATTTTATAATTTTTGTTTTTTTTTAGTAAAAAACCTCTATAAATTATTGAATGGATACAAAATGTCCAAAACGCATAAAATTTTGTCCAAGGCGAAATAATAAATCGAACGATTTGCACCTGTTGTGCCCGCGGCCGAAACGAAAACTGCATCTGTCCGTCTGTCTTTTTCTTTTTCGTTATCTCTCTCTCTGCGCGGAGCCAAAACAGGCGGGCCTAATTACACGAGCAACACACGTGCAATTATCACATTCCAACGAAATTAACGCTCGAGTGGCCCCGAAATCGAAAACTCCTGCTTTTCCCCTCGTAGCGCGTGCAAAAAGAGACAAAGGTCACCCTTTTCTATTTTTTGCGCATCTGATTTTTCTACTACACACCGATCGGGGGATGGAAAACAACGACGCAATTTCGGCACCCCCAGCTTTTCCTTTGTTGACACGCTGAGCCGATAATGAGCATTTGCTTTTAAGGTGATCAGTTAGATCTACCACTCTCGCCCGCGCCCTTTGCAGGCTTCCCGTTTGCACAAAGGCAGCCGTACAATTTTTACCCACACACGAGTTGACAGTGATAACCGTTGTCTTCTATTTTTTTATTTTATTTTATTTTTTTTTTTATTCGCTTTGCTTTGAAATTTGGAAATTTCAACTTTCAAAGCGAATTTAAATTGGACCAAAGAAATGAAACTGAAGTTAGAAATTAAAAATAAATTATTTTTAGAATTGAAAACAAAAACATTTGCCTAAAGTAAAAGGAGAGGAAGTAAGGATTTTTTGACAGTTTAATTAATTCTTGTCATTCTGCGCCTCGTAGAGCACAAAAAAGTATAATATTTCATGAAAGAATACATAGTTATCAAAAATTAATAAGGATAAAATACAATAAAACAATAAAATGAAATAATTTAAATATACATGTATTATTTAATATGTATATTAAATAATTTAAACGTAAAATCATCTTAGAGAGTTAACTCTTAGATTATAAAAAATAAACAAGCAAATTGGAAACTTTGCCACTCTGAAGAAGCCAAGCGCAGAAAAGTTACGATCCACGATTGGTATTGTGAAATATTTTATTGCGTTTTATTTTATTTTACCTCTAATTAAAAGTATTGAAGGATTAATTTAATTTAGCTGAAGAGTTTCACTAACATTCTGCAGGAAGTTCACAAATGAATCTTTGGCTATTGGAACATCCATATCTTCTCAATTTATTGTCCCTACTCGGTTGAATTTCTGCGCATCCACTTTTCTTAGCAGAGGCATCCCACCACAAAGCGCTATCCGATGCCAAAAATGTACCATCTTGCCAATAAAACTCAGGTTGGCCTGTGCTCCCAAAGTCTCTTGCGGAGACCCATGAATCACCCTGGCCTGGAAGTAATGTTTTATTATAACAATAATTTACTTCAATACAAGTTTTTTTCCGCGTTAGATTTTGCATATTTCCAATTTGTGTTGCCATTTAAACCATAAAAAATAACGTTATTTACCTAATCTTTTAGTTTCATTCCAAACAACGTCAATATCAGCCTGCGTTTTTAAGTTAGCCAGGTGCAACCCCTCCTGAGAGCAATAACTTTTTGCAGAATGCCAATTCCTTCTAGTCTATAAAAAACAATTTTATTGAGATCAAGTTTAGTGGCGAATTTCAGAAAGGGAAATGTAAACTAACGTCTAGAGTAGGAAATAAGTATTTTTTTCCATTCGACAATCTTGTTAATGCAACTGATTCTGGAAATTAAAACATAAATTATTCGGGAAAACGAATCAGCAATCGCGTTACTTACTGGCCTTCAGGCAATCTAGTGGAGTGCTGATGATCTGAAAATTTTGGAATGTTGATACACAGGGGATAATATAAAAATCCTTAATTCTTGTTCGAGATGAGTTCTAACCTTTTCAAAGTTTTGTCTGGAGGTGGCGTTCAACAAATTGAGCTTGGTCATGAGACTATTCACATCATTACTGCGTTGATTGTTGGCACTGTTTAAAGCATTGAACCAATTCTTGGCTTCATTCCGACTCTTCTGCAGTAGCCCGCTGGTCATAGTTAGGTTTTCCACAACCAGCAAGAGCAATTTTTTGTCACTCAAAACATTCTCTTGAACTTGGCAAATCTGTATATTACAGAAATGTGTTATTTTCAGTTAAAATTTTTTGACTGCCTTTTTTATATCGAACCCTCCCCCCCACCCCAGCTGAAGTTTAAGAATTTAAAATTGTGTATAACCTTACAAATCTTACAATTCGTGACTGAATGAGAATCCCCCCATTTTCATCTTCATATCGTCTCGTAATATTGTTACTAAAATTATGGTTGACGGCTGAAGGAAATGCGCTAGCAAAAAAAGGTAAAATAGAAATCATTTTGAATGTTTCATTAAATCAAATATATGCTAGAATAAACAACTTATGACTTATGCAAATTTTCAAAGAATATTTAATTAATTCCCTGACAGTTGAAAAAATGTATATAGGAAATTATTTGCAATTTTTACTTGAATATTTTAGGAGCTGCGGTATTACTGGAGAGAAGGTTCACGCGAACTCTACGCGATTTTTCAGAGACGTTTTGGAAGTACTTCTTAATAATTCATGGACATTTTTTAGTCTTCTTGTTGAATGATAAGATATGTGAATATTAGAAAATCAAGCTCACCTTGTCAGAAAAAAGATAGAGAAAAATGTTCACAGCTACAGCACTACAGATGTATACGAGGGCCGTGACAACAAAAGCGGCCCACAAAGCTTCTAAGCCCTTCTTTTTCTTGGGCTTTGCAGCCCGCTTTGGCAATGACGTCGGCATGGCCAATGTGAGAGGTTAATAAAATTTACAACGAATTTATAAGTTTCTTGTTTCTACGCATTTCCTTTGCGGTTTTAGATTAAATTAGTCCAACAAATCGGATTATAATCCAATCAAATGAGAGCAAAAACAACAAGCAGGAATTTCCTGTGCCTTATCGATGCTTTTTTTTATTAAATTAATAAATACAAGCAAGTTGGAAAAATAAAAGAAGTGCCAGCAATAAATCGAACTCTTTTTTTTCCATAAATGTATGATGTGAAATATGAAAAAAAAAAAATTATTAAAAATGTAAAAAGCTATTAAAGATGCAAAATTTTTTTTTATAAAATTAGAGAAAATATTGGATTTCAAAGATTTATTGTATTATTTTGTTGGTCGAAATATTCATGATGTTTAACTCGTAGTCGTAATCTATAATAGTCTTGAGTTGGAATTTAATTTATTTTCGTAAGTGGTTGGCAAAGTTTGCCTCGAAACAAGAGAGCGAAAAAGGAGCAGCATCTCTGGTCTTCTTTCTTTCTACTTCACCTTGCTGAATGTCACGCGCGCACATGCAAGTGATTGATGTAGATACAAGCCGAGGAACAAACACTTTTTGTCCTGCACACGGCATGCACGCCATCCATCCGAGCAGGCGACCGGGTTGATGATAGCAAAGTTGATTGAGGCGCGATTTCGCCGCCGGCCGCATGACTCACTCGTGCTCCAGCTACACATAATAAAATTTCCATCGCAAACTCGTAAAACGATACACCTGTTGATAAAAAAAGGAAATTTCGCTCCAATTTCAAATAGCACAGAATCGGAAATTGCAGAAAAAAATCGTCGTCGGCAACACGCGAGGCTCGGATGCTCGACAGGTTGCATAGCTTCGCTATCTGCGCCAACTGTCAACCAAATTTTCAAATTTTTTTAAAACTTCTTAAAGTTAAAAATGTGGAAAATAAAATAACTAAATGAATGGAAATGCGATAGCGCAGGGTGGTTACGTAAGTCAAGTGTGTGCAAAATAATAAGAGAAACCGCAGCCGAGACTTGAGAGGATAAATGAAGATATCGCATGACTCTTGCAAAAGTACAACTTTTAAAAATTATTTGCAACAGGCAAGACCGTCTCATTTGTGGTGGGCCTTGCTGAAATAATAGCAGATAATTTTTTGTTAAAAAGCGTATTTTTTGTTCCAATAAATTGTAAAACATTTTTTAGTTAAATTTCATTTTCAACTCATACACAACACAAAATTTAATTTATGGATCCTCCATTAAAACTGTAGGTTCAAGCCATAATTGAAATTTGCAAAATTTAATTGTCACATTCAATTTCTTAATAATTAAACTTCTATTTAGAATTATCCAACTTTTCTAGAATTAATATCTTCTTTTATGAAAGATTAGAAAAATCAAAACTTTTAGTAATACTAAAATTTTCCTAGGTCAAATCTTTAACATTCATTAACACTCCATCAATATAATCAAGTATTATTTTTTTAGATTACATTTCTAAAATTAATGTTAATTAAATTTTTTATTATGTCCAAGCTGAAATTCAAGCAGGTCCGGATTCTGTCCATTTTTTGGAATCTTCCAACTCTGGAGGATTTTTTTATTATACTTTTTTAATTGCCGCCGATCCAGAGCAGGTGTTTTGATGCCCCGGGGCCTCGATCTCGGCGGCCAGACCGCCTGGCTGCAGCGAGACCATTATTTTTTCCCTTCCTCTCTGTTCTCATAGTTGGTCCGTCCGTTCGTCCGCCGGGCTGATGAATGAATAATTATTCGCGAAACCGCACTCACTCAGTCGCAGGTGCGCGCCGCCTAGGGGGATTGTGTTTTGCGGCCGGGCGCATACGTCAAGGTGACTTTTACACATGCCAATCTTTGTTGCCGAAGCCGAAACAAACCCTTTTCCTTTTCTCCTCTGCTGACTGAGACACTTGTTGCTATATATTCGTCCACTTGATTGATTGCAGTTTTGTTCGTCCCGTCTCCTTTTGTCACGTAGGCCTCGGCCAAGCTAAAAGCTACGAGGAAAAATGTAATAAAAACTTCCGTTAAAATCAGTTAAAATTTTATAATTTCAATTATTTTCTAAAAATAAAAATAATGAAAAAAAAAACATTGTGTGGTTAAAACGTTACTTTGGAAAAAAAATCATATGAAATTAAGTATCATTTAATTCCCATTTTTAGAGTCGCGTCACATTGTTTTTAGGAAAAATTATTACTATAAAAAATGAATTTTTAACTTTTTTACCAAACCACTAGCTAGAAACAAAAAATAAAATAAATACATCAGCAAATTCAAAGCAGTTGGATATCCCCAAAATTATAAAAAAAGCTCGTTCTCAAAAGAAGTTCCATTATTTTATTTTTTCTTAATTAGTGATTTCCTGTATTTACATTTTTATACATAGAAACAGATGTGGTTTTAACCAGGAACTTTATGCTGTTGCAACACTTTTTGAGATTAATAAAAGATTAAGCATAAAAATAAACAATTCTCTTCGAACCATCACAAAAAAATTGCCTTTGTCAATTTTTACAAGGACTTGATTTGGCCAGATTTGGCTTATACCAATGAGGAGTCGTCAATTTTCGAATAGGATAAAAGATTTCTGTTAAAAAAAAAAAAAAAAAAAAAAAAACACACAATTTGAATGCATTTCATCGATAATAACAATAGCTTGGGCTGGTTTAGTCTTTTGAAGTGCCCTTTTTAATACTTCCTTGGAACAGAATAATAAAACTGAAAGCTTTTAAATTTTCAGATCACTTTTTTATGGTTGCAGAGAAAGAAATTGGTTTTTTCTAGAGAGGTAGAAATAATTGTTAAATCAGTCAAAATATTTTTTATTTTTCTCAAAGGTAATTTCTATAACTGGCCAATAATTGTTTAATTTTAATATTTGAGAAGTAATGAAACTTCTTGACTAGTAGTGTTTACCATCTGCAATACTATAATATTATTTCATAGGAATTAAAACATATCAAAAAGTTAAGTTTCGCTCATAGAAGTTAAAATTAAATCGACTTCCTGTAAAAGGAAACAGTTTCAGATTATAAGGATTTCCTATACTTGGAACAAAAAACCTGCCGGACTAAATCTTATTGCTTGACATAACCAATAATTAAAGCTATTTTGAGTGAACGTCAAGTACGTGCGAAAAGCCACATTGTATGCGTGTAATTACACCTTTATGAATTTCTCCAGGATTTTGAGATTGTTTCGCAAAAAAAAGGCAGCGGGTATAATAAAACGAGCGGTGTCAGGGAATTTGGCCTGCAGTGATTGTGCATGGAAAGCCAGTTCGGTGCGTGCTGCGTTGTGTGAGTGATGCCCTTGGTCATTTAAGTAAGAGCCAGTCGCCGCTGTGTCTGCCGTGACCGCGCGCGAAACGTGCAATTATCTTCACTCACTCGCGAGAGATCGAGCCAAGGAAAATACCGCGAAAAAGGCAGCCATAATAATTTCCATGCTCAACTGGTTTCTTCCAACCGATTGATCTGTAATCTTGTTTTACTGACAGCTCAAATCATACGTTTTGAGTGGGATTTTTTTCAAGTAAATAAGAGGCAGAAAAGATAATTTACATAATTCCATTTTCTGTAACAACGTGCGAGTCAATTAAAACTAATTTAGTGTATTTTTCATATTTTTAGCAGAAAGAAAAAAACAAGACCCGGAATCTGTATTTATTTTTAATTTGCTAATGAAGTGGGAATGTAACCAAAAATAAATAATAATATTAATAAAAAGACAAAAAATTTGAGATGTAACAATTGTATTTGCTGATTAATAAGCGTATCCACAAATTTTATCATCATTGACATATTATTATATACTTAACTTTTTTAAAAAGAAATTTATATGAATTATGCAACCTGCCAGGCATGTGTCATTTGATTGAATCGGAATTCGCCATCGCTCAATTAAATGACTCAACTAAATTATTAAGGAACTATTTGACCTTTGCAGCTGCCAGATGTGCTGAGGTTTTCCCCCGAGAGTAGTTTCTCGTTATCGAAGGAAACGGCCTGCCAATCAGTTCAACTTTTATTACGACAGCAATTATGGAGAGTTTCCTTTAGGCGCTTTAAAATTTATATGTCTTATTTAATAAGGTTTTATTTTATAGAATATTATTCAATAAATAAAAGTTTTTAAATTGTGTAGATTAGGAGTGCGCCTTATTTCTTGGTTTCATAAAGATTAGAAAAATTAAAGAATTTTGAATTTCTGATATATGTCTGCTAACTAAAACAATTACAATTTTTAGGTAGTTCATTCGACATTTTGAAATACTTAAAATCACCAATTACATTTTTAATTTACCTGCCCTAGTGTTAAAATGACAAATTATAGTTGGACTTTTTTAACTCTCACTTTTGAACAAACAAAAAAACACCTTAATCAAAATATATTTTAAATATATAGATAGTAATTATTTCATATTAAATATTTAAATACATTAATATTATATATTTATTACTATGTACCATAAATATTTATCGATACAACACATATATAAATTTTTTGCTTCAAAAATTGAAAAAATCTTGCAAAACTTTTTTTTGTGCATTCATAATTAAGATCATAATGCGATTACTTTAATAGTTGTACTTGATAATTTTTTGTTAAATTATTAAACTATTATTAGCAAAAGAGTAAATCTATCTGCGTCTCTGATGATGTTCTGATTGAGGTGCAGTGCAGTGGCCTGCAGCTGTCAACCACAAAACCCGAGAAAACGAGCATCATCCACACTACAAATATATAACTATTAATATAGCTGCTGGTATTTCATTCAATTATTTTAAGTGAACGCGTGACCTTTGTTTGTCACGCAACACCCTGGAAATTTCCATTCAGCCTCCGGTCGGAGTCTTTCGTCTTTCATTGAGCCCTCTCGAAATCTATATATTCCCACCCGCGATTACGTCACGAGATCTCGTCTAAAGAGAAAGAAATCAGAACACTCTACTTGATACTTTTGTCGGTTGGACACTTGGTTCAGTGAACCCGCGGTCCAACACGTAAGGTTAGGTCAGCTCGCTTCTCTCGATCGCAGCTCGTCGACTTTCTCTGCGGCAGCCACGGCCGTGCAAAAATTCGCCTCGGGCTGACGATTAATTCCCTAACGACCTGACCCACTAGACGGAAAAAGGGCAACTTTGTGCGTGAGTCAGCGCGCCAACTCGAGCGGCCGATGACCCAAGAGGGCAACGCCCTGAATCCAGATCAATCCGTCAAATTAAAAGTTGCTGAATTAATGAATTTTAAACAACTTTAATAACAAAAATAATAATTTAGCTAAAAAGAAATTATGAATATGAATTTTATTATTTGTGGACTAACTATAGAAGATCTAATTTTTATGCCGCGTGTACAGAAAATGCGTCAGCAGAGAAGTTTGTGACCTGTTGTGCACGCACGTCGAGCAGGTTGTATATCTAAGATCTTGACGGCGGCTGTCTCAAAATATTGTAAAAATTATTTTTATTTACAAACACTGCTCAAGAGTTTGATGCGGTTTTCATGTAACTTAATAATTTACACCAAAATTTTGGGTGGTATAGGTTTTATTAGATGATTTAAATGATTTGTCACTATTTTAGCAGGAAGATTTTGAGAGAAAAATTATTTTAGAAAATTTCTACAAGTCGTCAGGCTACTCGAAAAATTCTGCCCAAAAATCTGGAAAATAATATCCAGCCCTACACGCTTCGGCTCCATAATTCATGAGCTTTCTCGGTGGAGGTCAAAAGAACATCATCACACATCACATCATGAATCAATTCAAGATTGTGAAATTCTCTACAAATTAAAAATTTTGCTTTGTGAAGCGTGGAAGTAGAATAAGTCAACACAAATTCGTGCGGTGATCATTAACTGTGAATCAGCCTTGCTTAGTATAATTTTGTGCTGGTATCCTTTTCTCTTCATCGATTTTCAAATTGCTAACGTATAAACGTACGTAATATCCAAACTATATGGAATGGATTATTTTTTGCATTAGAAGCTCTCGGGACACAGAGAGATTTTTTCGCGCTACTTTATTTAAAAAATCCCGAGAATTCTCAGCAGAGTTAACAGATCATTAAAAATTACCAAGCTTTAAAATTGACCATTAAAATTAGGCTTAAATAATAATTTTTAGTTTCAGTTTTATTTTTTAGATGAATTATTTTTCTCTTTTATCTTAATAATTAAATGCAACCCTATATATAAGGTCTCTATTTCATATTGCGGACTGTTGTTCATAGTCATTGCAGTCGAATTCTTCCGCGCCAGCTGGTGAGCGAAACATTGAGCTAGATTTTTGTTTTGTTATTATCCTGACTATCCAGATTCGAGTGATCCAGAGAATACACTCATGTACTCTAATTTTATCTCTTGCTCTGTAAGACAAATAATTTTTTTTAACCAAAAATTATTAATAATTTGATAAATCAAATTTTGCAGCTCTAAATGACGAGGAGGAGCGATTTGGACATTGGGCAAATATAATGAACGCCGCAATGCAGAAGTGTTGACCGCAAGTGTGTATATAGAATGAGAGGTGGACAAGATGATTTTCGTACGCGGCGGCTGTCCAAGGGCAGTGTCCTCCACCCTCGCGGCCGTGCTCTTCCTCTTTCTCGTGCTGCTCGTCTTTAGAAGCAAGTCTCTGTACGAAGACTTCCAAAAGGCCAATCGACTGCAGAGCTACGAGAAATACGTTTGTTTTTACTTTTATTTCTTTTGCCAAATTTGTTATATTTTCAATAATATACAGATGGAGGAAATCACAGAGCTGCTGGACCAGGCAGAGGACGGTGCAGATTTCGGCAAAGGGCAGCTTCAGATGCTGGACGCTGTGGTCGGTGCCTTAGAGAATGGTACAAAACCCAACCTCAGCCCTCTACCTGCTGGCTAACAGGATTGTCCAGCCTGAAATTTTTTCCTTTGATCCCTTTTTGAAGAAACACTATGCCATAATATAAATCGCACAAACAATTGTAATTTTAGGATAAAAAAAATTTGAGCACTACAATGCTTTTTGCGAGTTGACAACGCCCAGTGATTTTTGAATCTCTCACACAAATAATTATTATTTTATAAACTTACAGGAAAAAATAATTCATCTCACGCTTTCATATAAATATGTGATGCATCGTTAGCAATTTTTAATTGTTGCCTGCAAGACTGAGAACTGATTTAGCTTAGAAAACGGGTATTTGCCTTGCAAATGTAATGCCTTTTGTGATCAGGTTATACTTTCATCAATGTGCTTAACAAGATTACTTTTTGGTTTAAAATCTTTAATAACCTTGGCATTAAATTTATGTGTCAATCAGCTGAAATATCTTGAAATCTACTGTGTTAAATTTTGATGATACATAGTTAAATTGAGAAAATACAATTCTTTTTATAGCTTATAATGTGAAAAATCTTTATTTGTAAGTGGCTAATTTTACTGCTAGTCTGATGGTTATGTTTTGAAAATATGGTTGTATTTTTGTTGTTGCTGATCATTTTATTAGAAAATCCAGACAACGATTTTCATTCCTCTTAAATACGCACACCGAAATTTATCAGAAAATATTATTATCCATAATAATAGTGTAAGATATACTATTTACTTCTAGGGATACTAGGATTGACATGTACGAAAAATATATTAATAAATTTTCATTTTACTTAATGAACATTTTGAGTGTAATTATTTACCTCTTTAATATTTCTGAAAAAAAAAACTTAAACCACCTTAAAAGAACTCAGCTTTAATTAACATATACAATTTATGGGCTTACCACAGCGGCCGAGTCTCTTTTGATTTCTGGCGTTTTAGCAGACACAGACATCAGCTAGTTGTACAACCTTTCTTCTCGTTTTCAAATCTCAATTTTTGGTATCGACTGAGAAGAACAAATGATAATAAATATTTTTGCTAGTTCATGGCTATAAAAAGTCATTTTTTTTTATTTCTTGAACAAATCAGTGTTCAATATTTTTATTTTGTTACACAAGCTTCATTTCTGAGGAGGTTTTCGCAGTCAAGAAATTTTCGGTAATAAACCTGACCATATAATTTCATAAAGATTCTTTTCCAGCCACGTGTATACAGCAGAAAGTAGCAGAGGAGTAAATAAAAAATAAATATATACAAAGAACAGAAGGTGAAACAAAATTTCATAATGATAATAATTAATACTCTTCGTTTACATTAATCATAATATCAGAGAGCTGCTTATACAAGAGAGCCGACAAATGTATAACGGTAGCAAGGTTGTTTTTTATTTGGGGGAGAAAGAGAGATGCAGAGAAGAAATTCGATTGAGGAGAGAATAGCAAATTAGCTGATTTGAGGGTATATCATATACTGTTCCATTATTACTTCGAGTTGAGCATGTGAGTGTGTGTGTTCAAAAATACTATTCGTAGAGTGTGTGTAGCATGAGTTAATTAATTAATTAATTGTAGATTTCAATTGTTACAGGATGTTACTGTCTCTCAAACAACAACACATTACTTGGTTACTTTGTATATAATTGTTAGTACATAATAATTACTTAAATTGTTTCTCAATGTGTGTTAAGCGCGTTAGGTATTTCCGAGTTATTTTTTTTCTCTCTCTGTCAGTGAAAAATACATGGCACAGATGTACAAACTAGTGATTAATCGGTGTTAAAACATAAATTATGTAGTTTACAAAATAACTGGCAAGTGTTGCAAAAAGTACATTATTGACAAAAAAGGGTCTGCCTGAAATTTTTTCAAAGTACTACAAATTCATCTGAGAACTCCAATTTATTGCAATTGGGCCAGAAACCTTATATTATATCAATTCTTGTGCCAAAAACACAGATGAAGAAAAACTAAAATAATACTTCTTGTCGAAAGGCACAGATCATGGCTTGTTTATAATTTTTTCATCTTTCAAATCGTTGCTATACATTTTATTTAATTTTACATCTTAATTCGCTCTGTACTCTTTGAGAATTTCCTCAATTAGTGTCCTTCATTAATATCCTGCTCGTTCAGTCTTTAAATCTTTTCAAAAATAATTTTCTTTGTGAAGTGCAACTAAAATAATCACATTTAAATTGCTCTACTGGTGCGCGCGCGGTCAAACTTCCGAGTTCCACATACGGCTGGTCTTCAAAAAGGGAGCTATCACATTTCAATCTTATTAAATTCCTTTCCAATAATAATTTACGCAAACAATAAAAAGCAAATTTTTTCTGAAACAAAGATAAGTAGTGTGACATGGAAGATACTGAAATTTACTAACAGGTTCGTCTTTTTTGTCACGGCAAGAAAAATGTGACCTCATCAAGCACTGAGATAAATTTCAAGAAAAATGCTTGCTTGCTTAAAGTTATCTCCCGAATTTCAAAACATAAATAGATTGTTGCCCAGTTTTGGCTGATAAAATTTTCCAAGCAAGTTCAACATAACCCTGACTCTGCGAAACACTGATCACTAATCCAGCACTTACAAAACTCCAAATTCTCTTTTATTTTAGTCTTTGATTCCATCAAAATACTGTCCGTCAAAGTCTAACCCTAAATTAATTACTCAATACGTTAATCAATTAAAAAAAAAGAGATATTAATTATAAAATACAAATAAGCACAAAAATGAGATAAATCTTCAACTGGCAACAAGCAAGAGCCAAATAATGATATATGAATGAATTCTTAAGCAAGTAAGACTTACAAGATAATTTACGAAAAACGCAATGCATAATGTGTAATTACAGTAGTGTATGTGTATGTAGCATTAATATCTCAAAAGTCATGGACAAGTGGTGTTAATCTCATTAAGTATCAATAAGCACAGAAGTATTACTCAAGTGCCTTACTAATCAATTATTGTATTCAAAATGAGTAAAAATAATTAAGACGTCATCCCCGTTCTGTTGAGAAACGACTGAACTGCTCCATTAATTTTGACTATTTTTATCAACCCAGTATAAAAGGTGAAATAAATATAATTAATATAATGCAAATGTTGATTGCAAGTCGGGTAACTGCGATAAAGACAAACCAGTTTCTAATTGTAGCATTTGAGAATCCCGACGCTTAAAAAATTTATTTTAAATAGGAAAATGTAGTAATGATGGTGGGTTATTTTAAAGGAACTTGTTAGACTATGCATGAAAATAAAATGAGGTGATGATAAAACTGGCAGGGTTGTGCATCATAGTCAAAATTATTGGAGAACATTCGTGTCGGACGACAAACTCTGTAACAAATAATGGCGGAAAATCGTATTTTTCTCACCACGTTATTGCTTGTCAATAAATAATCGGCGTGAGTGACGCAGAAGGTCCTCAATTTTCACCTGCGTGTCTGTGTTGTGATGGCTATTATCACAGCTGAGAGATTCTGCCGACGGTGAAAAAACCGGCGGCAGCCTCTTCCGGTTTTCTTCCGTATGTGTGTAAGAATAAGTAGCTACGACCGAGAGTTGTTCGATTGATGAGAATGGCGTAATAAATTAAAACGGAGCGTTACGAGCTTAAGTCTAGGCACAGAGAGCTGCAAAATAATTTCAAGTCATTGGGGCCGAGAGAGACGGACGCGACCAGGAGTTTTGAAATGGAATGTCTTTCAAAAAAAGAATAAAATGGTCCACTCAAACTAAAAAATCTCAATCAACTGTAAAACATAACCTGCGGCGCGCCTCTCACATTTGTTTTTGTTCCACAACCCCAATTTCTTGTCTAGAGTATTGAAAAATCTTGATGAGTATTGAGAGTGAGAGGGCGGACGGCTGGAGAAAAAGATTCCAAACTTAAAAATAACAGAGAGACGAAGAGTAACAAAAGATGGCGGCAGATCACATGAAGATTAACTGCAGACGGGTCGTAGTGTTCTTTTTTAGTGTGCCTAGAGAGAGGAGGTGGTGGTGGTTGCGGCCAGGTTGAGAGGGCCCTCCTCGTGCTCCTCCCTCTCGTCGTCCGACACGTGCAACTCGGTCTTGACGGCGACCAGGGCAAGTGCAGTGCCATCCTCGTCGTCGGCGTCCTCCAGAGAGGCGGAATCTCGGCCAGTGGGCTGAGAGGAGTCTGATGAGGCACGAATGGTCAAGTTGGGCAACATTGGTGAAAAGAGGAGTGACTTGGAGATTTGCATGTGAGACGATGGCTCTGCAAATGTGATACAAAATTTAAAATTAATTTTTTTTTTTAATAAATATTTCCACACAAATTGGTATATGTTGAGATCCATTGTGAATAATTCATTAAAATTGATTGAAGGTAAAAGTAATGATTTAAGAAAAAAGCTTAAATGGAAATAGTCGCTAAGGGAAATGAGGCTACAAAAGTACAATAGAGCTTTCCTCGGCGCCAAGAAAGCTGATTTTGTATCCTCAATTTGCCTTAGCATAGCAATCCCAGGTCTGTTCTTTACATTCAAATTACATTTTTCTTCAATAATAACCTTTTTTAACTTATTTCGTAAACTTTCAGTTCGATAATAAAAGAAAATTGACCATGAAAATTCTCATATATGAATAATTCAGGAATAATTATTGTAAATATTTGGTTCTAGAGATTAATCAACACAATCTTTACTCTGAACTATAGAATGTAAAAAAAGATAATGTTGAATTTCAAATTTCAATCACCTTCAGCTTCGGGAGGACTGACAGTGGGATCTCCGTTGCTCTCGGGGGCGTTTCTCGTACGCTGCCGCTTGGGCCGCCGCCTCCTGGTGTGGATCGTGTCCCTCCTCATGGTGACTGGCCTATTTACACCGTGCAGTTTGAAGTACAGTCCGCACGCATTGCACACCATGTCGCCTTCGGCGTTCCGTCTCCAGATGGTGGTGGTCTTGGTGCCGCAGTTGGTGCAGCAAAGGTCCACCCGTTTGGCCGCCACGCTCGGCTGCTTCTTAAAAATGTTCCAAGGAGGACCCTTGGCGCTGGACAGCTGCGAGAGGAAGTGCGGCTCGGCGTCCATGGCGTCTGGTGGCTCCGGCTGTGCCTCTTCCGAGTGCTGCTCCTGCTGGTGGTTGCGACTTGCTTGCATTGCCAGCAGGTCGGCCACTGACACACCTGGGAGGGAACTGCCGTCCGCCCGTCGCAACTCGATGCCTGATGAGGACGTCGACTTGGAGTTGGAGGACGAGGGAGCCATTTGGGTCCTCGAAATGAAGGTGCGAAGGTCAAAAGGCTGCGTAGGGTGATTCAAATCTTCATCCTCTTCTTCATGTTTTAATGTGCTGAAAAAGTTATTTTAAATTAAATTGGGCTAATCTTTAAGATATCAATTTCAAATTTAAATTGGAATTCAAAAAGATTAAACATGTTTGATGATTTCAATGCATGTCATAGTTATTGTAAGTAATCTAAAAATTCTTATTTTATTTCAACAAACCTCATGTTTTGTAGCCAAATGGTGTTTTTCTGGAAGTCTCGAACAAATTTTTCAGCCTGGACACTCGCTTCGGACGCACTGTCCGCCTCGCCAGTCTCCGTTTTCATTCTCGTCCCACTGTCGGACCACTTTCTTGTGAACTTGTGTAGCGCTGGCAGTCTGGAAACTCATGATTAATATTTTCCTTAAAATAGATTTTTTCTTCCTACGATTTGATGGGGTGCGGCGTGTGCTCCTTGTCACTTTCGTCTTCCCTTTCCTGGTCGCTGCCCATCACAATTTGCAGCGCTCCTTCGGCCTCCTCTGGCTCCGAATCGCCCTCAGGGGGCGCCCCTTTTTCATCTTCGTCAGGCGGCTCCTCACTCTCGACTTTGACAAAACTCATTGCGTCGCCTTTTGAAGGCATGTTTTCATCTTCGGCACCAGAACTGCCTTCATCTTGCATTCCTTGAATCCCCTGGAAACAAATTTTAAATGGTTTTATGAATCAAATAAAATTTCAGCTTTTTTATTGAGAAAAAAAATCTGAAATGAAATACAAATTCAAAATTTATCTAGAGCAAATAATTGCATTGATTGGTTATAATTAAATAATTACCTGTCGAGAGATTGATAATTGCTGGGTGTAATTCAGGTATTGCTTCAGAATGAGATCTGACTTGCGCGAGACCTGCAATAAAACGATTAGATCGTTGTTATTTCGGCAACTTTTGCTGCGGCGACGAGAATTCGTTTGTACCTCTCTGAAGTCGTACAGCACATCCAGTTTGTAAACACATCTGTGGCATATCAAGGATGGCAGCAGGTCGTGTTCAGACACCTGAAATCAAAACCACAAGCACACACAAAATGCATCACTGTTTTCCAGTTTGGAGTACAAAAATAAAATAAAATAAGGCTACTGTCAATCTGAATCCAAACCGTAAAAAATATCACAATCCGATGATAGAAAATTCAGAGAAAGGACTTTTTATTTTTTAATATAAAAAAATGCTCTTACTTGCGACTATTTTTAACTTTAAAGTTAAAAAGATTATATTTATATTTAAAAATAATAGAACACAGTTAGAAAAGCAATGTTTTTGCCAAATTAATTGACTAGTATTATCTTTCCGCTCACAAAACGTCATTCATTTCACAAAATTTAATTTTCCAGAACAATTCCAAAGAAAAAGATTGTAGTTCCGATGAATATGATTTAAGTAATGTAAAATAGTGAGGGATTTAATTAAAGCTATATAAATTCAAAAGTAAGCAAAATTATTTTCTGTTTACATTTGCATGGAAGGATAATTTTGATTCATTCTCAATCAATTCTAGTAGAATAAAAATTTAAATCTAAATATCAACCAAAATTTTTTTAAACCCTAACTGACATAAAAGGTTTTCATTGTTACTCTACATATCGAAACTGGTTTGTCAACAATGTAAGTGATTTTGATTGTTTGACAGCTAAAGCAATTTCGTTCATTAATCATTTTGACAGTGGTCATGTTGAATGAAAGGGAGCAACAATACTCATGCAAATTTAGGCTTTTAGATCACCTTTTTTCCTATCATTTTTTTTTCACAGTTAAAAAATTATTTATTTGTAGATTAAATAATAATTTGAATAAATGCAGTTCTAGTAACTTTTGCTCGTCTTTCTTCTCATCTGTCAAAAATTAACGCTCCAATTAATGCAATCTTGCGGTTTACATGATGAAGAATAAATTCTCTGTCGTTTGAAACAATTTTGCCTTCGCAGAACTTTTGCCGAGTGCTTTAAACTGACAGCTGGCCAATGACCGAACGGCTGATTCTCCACCAAATGGTTTCTTTTCGCTTTGTTTACTTTTATTCCGCTCGAGAGGGACACGATAAAAATCAATGATTTTGACGTAATTTACGAAAAAGAGCCAAATTCTCACCGGGATCAATTAATTTAGGGCATTAAAATAAAATAATTTAGAGAGAAATTTTATCGCGACGAAATTGAAAGCAGCCGTTTGTTTAAGGTTGCATCACACACGCGAGACAGAAGGAAACGAGCTCTCAGGTTTGATCAGTCGGACCGATTATAGAGAAACCGTCTGTCGAGCGAGTCAAATAAAAAAAAAACACAACCAGGAATGAATTCACGGCCGATAGGAAAGTAGTGTGGCGGCACAATTATTTTATCTCAAATCGCCAATGGCAGGGAAATCTCAGTGGCGACCTCAAGACTGGGTTATCAAAGTCGGGGGCCACGGTGGCCCCCCGCGGCCGGCGGCTCAGGGGGCCCGCGGGAGGCCGACCAAATTTAGCCTCTGGCGTTTGCTGATAAAAGCAGGGAGAAACGCGATACATATGTCACGGGCTAAATTTAGATAAGATAAAAAAGCGGTCGGGGGGCGCTGGCGGCGCCGCCTTCGGGCCCCCGGGGCCCTTTTTTAGGCCGTGGCGGCGGCACCGGGCGCGTCACCCGGGGTCTGCGGCGCCCGTAGGGGGCCGACGGGGCCGAGTTGCGAGCAGATGCGTACCAGGACGGAGAGACACGTCATGATTTTGAGAGGAAAGTTGCGTTGGGAGCCCTCGCCGTCGAAGATGGACAGCTTGACGCCGTCGCACGACAAGCACAGGCGGCACAGCTCGTAGAATTTGTTCGGCACGCTGCACATCTCGTATCGTCGGCGGCCGACTCCTCCAACAACACAAACACTCGCTCGCTCGCTCTCACGGCTCACACACACTCCTTCTTCGCTTCTTCCTTCTCCAAACTCGCTACTCGCAGCCGCGCTGCTGCAGCATCAGCATCTCTTTTCTTTCTTTTCTCGCTTAGTTCCCCTTTCGCTCGTCGCACACCGTGGTGGCGCCGCCATCCGACCGCAGCTTTGCCCTGCCGCGGCCTTGAAAAGGCACGTGGCAACGCAGCGTGAAAGCCGCGAATCCGAATGAGTTTTTTTTTTCCGAAATAAAAAAATAACCTTAATAACGTCCCCAAATGAGCTTAAATTGACTTGATATCAAAGGACACTTTATTTCTATTGTATTAGAGATCAAATGACCAACTTATTTCTTCACCAACTTCCTTAGAAATGCAAAAATGAGACTGGAGAACATTTGGAGAACCCAACAAAACACAATTTTTTCCCATATTTTTTTTAACTTTTCATAATTTCAAAGTACTCAATTTAGTGCAGTACCATGCAAAAGCAAAAATTTTAAAAAACTTTTTGTAAATTTAGTAATTTAAAAAAAAACACATTTCTACAAAATTCCTTTCAAAATTAAATTATTCTCGTGGTATAATATTCATAATATTGTTGGAATTAATATATTTAGCTTTTTGATTCTACAAGAATTAAATAAAAAAATATTAAAAGTGAAAATCGAGAATGGATTTAATTTTGGGCATGTCTCAAAGATTTGAGAAAATTCCTGGAGTGAGCTGCTGAGGAAGATTCAGTGTGTCACGTTTTTCAAATCGAAAAATATGAAAATGAAAACACATATTTGCTAAATTTTCTTGTTAAAAATTGTGAAATTATGTACGTTAAATGACACAAAATGTTTTTAGGGAACTTCTGTGTTTTTTAAACTATATTATAATATATTGATGATTTGATGAATGATAATATAATGTGATTTTATGTTTATGTGCAAGAATTTTTGGTTCATGTTAAATGTTTAAAGCAAGTTGAAATACTAAAAATTTTTTCAATATGTTCATACAAATTACCATTATTAAAAGAGGCATGAAGATGAATAATTATAAAGTAAATTTGAAGTGAAGTAAATTTATTTAAAAAAAAAAAAAATGCTAAATCAAGATTTTCTAGTTATTATCGATTGTTGAAGTGATCAGGCTTATTTCCGCTTCTCCCTACTATAAACGATAACATAAAATGAAAATGGAAAATGCACTGTAAATTTATACTTTAAAGATCTTTTATTTTTCTTTTTAAATAAATAAAATGCTGGGTGACAAGGAGAAACAAGCTGTACACTGGCTGTATGAGATATATTACGTCTCCGCAAGAATTTTTCTTCATTTCAACATAATAACTCGTCTCATCATCACCATTTTCGGCAACAGAAAATTCAGAGTGTAAAGAAAGAGTAAAGTATGTTTGCCCATAGCAACTTAATTTTACAACCCAAATTGCATAATTTATCAAAAAACAATGTAACAACTGCAAAATTTGATGTTTTGCATTCTTTTATATGGCAAATTGGCAAGAATCGCTTTGTATTAATTAGCAGTTCACGCAGTTGGCAGCTGCTGGAGAAATAAAAAAACCGAAAACAGTTCCTAATCATTATTGTCAAGATGTGCAATTTTTGTCCCTAGTGAGAATTTCCCACTTGACTCCTCGATTCCTTTATATTAGACACCTCTCAAATTGTACTTAATGCACTGGGGAAATGAAATTAATCATACACAATATATAATTATAAAAAATTAATGATCCCTGAGAACAACTCTTGCAAAGTAAAGGTGGCGTTACTCTAATAAAAAAGGGTCTTTGACGGATGACAGAAAAGTAAGAAGCTGCCAAAGTAGCGAGACTATTATAAAAAAATCTTTCAAGATCCCCAATCATACATACTCGTCTAATTAACCATAAAACTTTTGTGTGGCTAGTTATTTAAATCATTTTTATAAAATCGGCTCTGCAGAATGGAGCCACATGTCCACAGGAACAATTGCACCAGTAAGTTGTAGTTCTTCTGATTCCTACTCTCTTTTGCTGTTATACACATCAATACGAAAGTTCAAAGTATATATTCACAAGGCACAAGATTTAAGGAGCAAAATGCGGTTGTGTCAAAAAGAAAGTTCTAAAGCTCTGCTTAAGTCCATTCACTCCACTGGCTTCACTTGGGCCATGACTTTTCCCTCCCACAGGGGCACAATTTCATTGTCCTCCATCACCTCCTCGTGAATCACCTTCGTGTCAACGTCTTCGCATTCTGTTTTGAAGAAATACCTGAACAAGAATGAATGAATATTAGATTCCGAACCAGATGGAAAATTTCGAGAACAAACCTGTAGTTGCCCTTCTTCGGCAGCAGCTCCTTGAAATGCTTCAGCGTGACTTGTTTGTTGTTAATTTTGGTCCGGTATGGCACATCCTCATCACAGAACGTGAACATGACAGTTGTGTACTCGGAGGGGGCTCTGCCCAGGGTGGAAGTTGAGCTGGAAGAGGGGTGTTTCTTCAGGGTGGAATGTCCACTGCCGCCAGACGGGTCGGTGCTCGGCGACAGTGGCAGAGACATCGGGGCCAACGACTTGCCAGATATGGACGTTCCATGCCTATCAAAAGAATAACTGCTTAAAATTTAAATAAAATAAATTTTTTGATTCAAATATGATGCCTAAGAGTGCAAGGATGCATTTAATAAGATGAAATCTAAATTTTATCTCAATTCTGCGGAATATGGTAAATTTTTTACCTTTGCCTTGAGACGGTTTTGCCTTTGACGTCTTCCAGCCGCCTGCGCGCTTCCTCCAGCTGTGTTGCTGTGTTGGGACTTGGCAAGGGTGGCATCGAAGGGTCGGCCACAAAGGGCTGGTTTGGCGCATTCGACCACGCCCCTACATTCAGAGGAGGAAGGACACTGCTGACCAAGCCGCGTTCCTGAGAGCCAGACCGAGAACCGTTTCCACCAATTGGCTTTTTGCTGCTCCGCCTATTTCAGAAAACAAAAATTATGTATTTAGCGAAAAACCCAAAATGTGAGCCGTACGTTTGTCTTTGAGTGTTAGAGCCCGAGGTCCCTGCTGCACCAGATGGTCTGCCCCTGTGCTTTGAGGAGGAATCGCTGTGCGAATATCCGGCACTGCTGACCACTTGCTTGGTCTCATTTTGGATGAGCCAAGACAAAACACGGCTGTTGATTGAAAGATAATTAAAATTTCCTCAACCACCAAACAAGAGCAACAAACCTGTCCTTGATCTGGCAAGAAGGCGTTTCGGAGACGACACTCACTCCGCTGTCGCTCAAGTCAGTCAAAGTTTTACGAGTAGTACCCGTTTTGCAAGATAGGGAATCTTTGCTGCACATCCGTGAGGAATGGCTTTGCGCCGCATAGGGATCCACGCTTTGCGGGTCGTTGTAATCAGGCACAGACTTTGACTTGGTAAGGTAGTGCTTGTGCTCCGTAACCTCCACATAGTCATGCACATTGCCAGAATCAGCAGAAAGAGTAGAGACTCCGTCCTTTAAATTGGAAATGGACCGATGAAATTTAATTTTGGTTAAAAAGAGGTCACTGACCTTTTCCTTCCGACCGTGCCTTGCAGTGCCATGAACAAGTCTTCCTTGAAAAGATCGCGCGGTCGCGCCAGAGAAGGCTTGAGAGGCTGGGTGGGCCGAGGTCTGCAAAGATTGCATTCCTCCCTGAAGAAAGCGATTCAGTTGAAGCTTTTTTTTGTATAAATTCTCAATACTAACCATGACTGGGTTGAAGGCTGGAGGGTGATTCCCTCTCCTCCTGCAGCTCTCAGGGGAGCGGGGTCTTGGAGAAACAAGACCCGGGGAGCGGGAAGGCGTCAAATCAGACCAAACTCGAGATACATGCATATCTGGTGGAGGGGAAAAATTTTAATAAACAAACCAAACAACGATTTCGGCGTAATAGAAAAAAACCTGAAAGTACATACCTAAAATGGATTGATTATCATCTGGGAAGTTCAGTCTATCAAGTGGGGGTGTTGAAGGCGTTGCCTTATCAGACACTTGCAGTCTTTCTCGGAAATCTGCGAATAATCTAGAGTTTGTGAAGTCACTGTTGGCCACCATTTCCTCTCCACCACATTCATCCTATTGAAATTAAATTATTAAAACCCAAATCATAAAGAGAACTTTAAATTTCCTCACCTCCATCAACTTTCTCTCCAACTTTTCTTGGAGCTCTTGGGCTCTTTGTACATGCTCTAGCTTCTCAATGAGAATCCGTGCAAAGTCATCGGGTTTCAAAGGCTGTAGCTGCAAGGGAAATTTTAATGAAATATTCTACCATTATCACTTTTCGAGACTTACATTTTCTCGGGGTATTCTTTGTGTGCGGGGGATGATAGTTGTGTGCATCTGGGGGTCTTTGTTGTAACTGGCGCTCTCACGCATTTGTTTGTTGTGAAGGTGATGTTGCTTTCGTGCAGATCTGTAGTAGCTGCCATCGCTGGAAAATTTAAAAAAAAAATCAACATTTCCATCTTGGTTGCTACTTTATATTTACAGAAAAAGAACGCAACACTTCACACACTCCAAACAATTATTTCAATAGATCCAACGCATTGGTTTAAATATTTGGAAGATTTGTACAGAAAAGCAGAAGCTTTATATATTTTTGGGCCCAGCACATGAGTACCAAACACTTACACAGAGCTGTTGGTGACTGAGGCACTATCGGAGGTGTACGCGTCCGAACTGAGACTTTGCAGTTCGCTGTCCTGCCTGGACACAGGGTTGTAGGAGGAGTACGCAAGAACCCCGCGGGAGAAAACGGTGGACTGCGAGGTCATGTGGTAGGGGTTGGGTAATGATTTGGTGGAGGGCGCCGTGGTTGAGGAAGACGTAGATTTCTGGTAGCGCATTCTACTTGACAACATAAAACGTAAAACAAAAAATAATTTAAATCATATAAAAACAAGTGACCAATCAGAGCAATCAGTGCGACATGCAAATCGTCAAAATAAACATTTCAAATCAAATTCTACGCATGCCTCCAAGAATTTTTAAGTGACAAAACAAACCTGGCGTAAGCTTCAGGTTTGGGCTGCAGGTCGACAGCTCGCTTAACCTCTGTGAACTTGAGGGAGTCCCTGGTGAGCGGGAGAACCCCCTCAGACTCACTCTGGTGGTGGTGGTGGCGGTGGTGCGAGTGGTGGTGGTGAGAAGTGACTTCAAGTTCCGAGTCTTCGTGCAGGGTGGGCAGCAAACCGACAGGAGCCGCCAGTTCTTTGCCGTTGCTGCTCGAAGAGCTACTGCACTCTTCTTCACTCCCTTTGAAAATTAAGTTTTCAAACATTTATAACATTGATAAATTAACTTTTTGCATTTAAGTTTAAATGGCTGTTGACTTTGAATTTAAGCAAGATGTACTACAGAAAATTGTAAATTTAAATACACACAATTTCTTCCTACCAAATGTTCAATTAATTAGCATATAGGACCAATTTAAAAATTAGATTTTGTTCATCCCAAAGCTAAAAGCAAGATCTTCATATATAAAAATTTAAAAATAATATAACGTTCAATCTGACTCACCTCCCACCATCATTATTCGGCTCTGCATGGAACGGACATGTTGCAGGTACGTCTCAGACCGAAGAAACTCAGGGTAAGCAGTGTCATTGATAAAAATCTCAACCTGCTTTTGAGCGTCGTCAAAGAGCCGCCGGTCAGGCGGCATCTCGCCCTTGCTGACCTCCCGCACCTTCCTGTGCACCTCTTTTCGCAACCCTTCATTCACCTTGATGGGTGTGGCCGCCTTGAAGTAACGCTTGTGGATGAGCCGCACCAACTGGGCCACATTCGCGTCGTCGCGCACCTCGTTTTTCAGGCCCTCGCAAGCAAACCAGAACTCTAGCATGTCAGTGCTGCCCTCCTGCTCAAGATACGACTTGAACAGGGCAACGCCGTCTGGGTCTTCCAGCAGACTAGCCAGAGACACGGCCCACCGCAGGTATGGCGGAGTGCCCAGCTCGATGAAGCTGCTGGGGGTGGCGCGCTCGCTCCCTTCTGGTTCAAAGCCCATAGGTGCTTCTAGAGAGAAAAAAAATATCGGGAACTTAAATTCTTTTTGCGAGTCTTTAGTACAATTCAAAATAAAATATTCATAAAAAAAATATTAAAGATTAACTTGAAATTCATTAACAGGGTATAAATTAAGGACTAACTAATTTGATTTATCTTCAATTATTTTTAAATTTATGTATTAAATATAATTTATTTTAGGGAAGGTTTGATAAGGCGTTCCCCAGAGTAATGAAAAAAAATTCAAAGATAAATATTTTCTACAGAGTGAAACATCCACTATTTTTAAGCGTTTTTGGTTATTATAATCAAAACAATAAATAAAATTTAAACAAATCTAATACTATAATATAAAATCATTATAATTAAAGCTGAAATATTTCAAACTTTTAGAAACTGCAGCCCTCTACAATCTCAATCTCAGTAGTTTGTCAAAATGCTTTTCTTTTATAAATTTAATTACAACGGAGCTGTATATTTAGTGAATTAATAATCCTGAAATTAATTTTATTGAGAAACTGTATACTATTTAAAAATGTTAGGCAGTATTTTTTTTAACAAGCCCAACCACAAAAACATACTCGTTCCAGAATAATTTTATTGACTCTTCTTTAGTCGTGAAAATTTTCAGTTGCATATCTTATTTTACCTGATAATCTTGCAAAGGTGGCCTCAAGAAAAGATGAATTAAGGGCTGAAGACTTCCTAGGAGTGAAGCTGGGTGAATAGCGTGGGATTCCTCCATCACCACTCCTAGGCGGAAGCGGCGGCATTCTGCAGCTGCCAGTGGGCTCATGTTCCCTGCCTGAAATTATTTGAGAGTAATTTTTAAATTTTGTTTGCAATAATATCAATTTAATTACCTAGCACTGGAGGCCGCGGGGAGTTTTCGTCAAAGGTTGCTGACTGCAAGACCATTGTGGAGGTGGTAGTGGTGGTCGAGGCGACCAGCACTCTGGCACCAGCAGTGGTGGCCGGCGGTGCATGATGACTCATGTTGACCCTCGGTGATTTGGACAGGGTCAGAGCTCAGAGTTGGCACAGCCAAAACCCAAGCGTCGTGCATTCCTGTACCTGCTGCACTGCCTCAACTCCCTGCACACAAAAACGTAAAGAAAACTCATCAGTGAAAGAAGCACGGCTCTTTTTCATTTCTTTAATTTTCATCTCATTCATTTGAGCAACCCGAGCAAGCCAGCCAGCCGTTCGGATGAAAAAATATGAAATCATAATCATAACACGGGGAGAAAGGAGGAAGGGGGCACAAAAGAGTGCGCAGAAATTGATGAAAAGCGTCTGGTGGTGAGTCAGCAGCCACAGCAGGGCAGATCTGCTTTTGGTATTGTTCAGAGTGAAGAGGAAGGGAGAGGTGGGTTGGTCGGCCGAGCCCGATGATGCTCGAGACCCGAAGATCGATACGGCGTCTGCCCCCTTGGAGGAGGGGGATGCTTGGCTGGATGTGCTTGGGTTCCCACCCAGCCATCTTTGCCGCCGACTAAATGCTTCCTCGGCTCCGTTCCAGCACCCCCGATGCTCATCTCCAGTCATAAGTGAAAACACAAAGACAAGGTGCCAAGCCGGATTACCCAGCTGCCGTTCTCCGGGAAGCTCATTCGGGCCTGGAAATCTCTGCCGAGTATAAAAGCTCAAATACACAAACAAAAGCCGTGCCATACTTACCCTCATCATAGAAATATGATTGACAGAACAATAGAAATCCTCTCGGACTAGTTTCGGAGGCCGGTTGCGGAAATGCACAGGTAATTTGGGTTTTCCTTATGCTGAGCTGCGGAGAGCCGGACTGAGAAGACAGGGCTTGCTCTTTTGGTGGCTGGTATCGAACTATTGACCAGAAGCCAACAAGAGGAATCCGTCAGCCGAGTCATCACCGAATGCGCAAAAGAGCAAGCGAGCCCGGAATAAATACAGCTGCGCAGAATATGCGTCCCGAGCAGCTTTCGAGAACCAACTCCCAATCACAATCGGCGTGATTCACTCTTGAGGGGAGAAAGCCACCCTCAAATCTCGTCCCATAGAAAAAAATTTCCTCTCTCTCAAAATCGATGATCCGGAGCTCGAAGCGTGGCTGGAAAATAATGAAAGTATAATAGTAAAAAATGAATGGTGGATGGGGCTCGAGACATAAAGGAATGGCATATCTGGCTTTGTACTTTGCAGCAAATGATAGTAAATAATACAATAAAAATTTGGCCCAGAGGTAAATATGTAAGTGGGGGAGGGAGTTGTTTTTCAGGTTATGATTGGCAGGTAAAGTAATTGCAACCGCATGATTGAGCAACCGTAGATGAAGAAATAATATATCACATGCAGACAATGGATGATGAGGAAAGCTGGGGGTTGAGAGTCTCGGGGAGAGCTTTTGCAGGCCAGTAGCAAGCACATTGTTGAGCAAGCCACTCCACGTCCCTAACAGTCTACTTTGCAGTTTACAGCTCCAGCCGCTGGCGTGAAAGACAAATTATCCATCTTAATTGCACTCATTAGCATTTCTCAACGGGCAACAGCTTGAGCAAGTCTTTTGCAGCAGGTTTGGGCACCTTTATACATTTTATGATGCATATTATTAAAAAATTAAGCAGACAAGGTACCTGATGGTAAAAATTAGTTTGATTTTAAAATTTCAATTAACCACAAAGTTTCTTTGATTTACAAAAATAACTCTCAAATTCAGCAAAACAGTGAATGACAATGTAAGAGGATCTTACAATAAGGAAACTAAAAGCAATTCACTGTTTTCTTGAGTGGTTTCAAATCATTTAAGTGGGTTCATTTGTACAAAATAACAATTTAGGCGCTAACGCATCTGCAAAATCTATTCAAGCTTGAATGGTCTTATCACCTTATCAATTTACTCTCAATCAAACTAATTCTAACATATAAAACAATTCATTCTTTTTTGGAAGATATTTACCTTGAATTTAGTGATATAAATTTATAATCAGATCGGAATTCTTAATTTTTTTGATTGATTAAATACATCTTATATAATTGATATAATTCACATTTGTTTTGAAGTATAATGAGGAGTGACCATTCGAGATAATTTAATATCATGTGCCTTCACCGCAATTGAAATAACTAAAAATCTGTTATTGGTGGTAAATAAAAAAATTTCAATGTGCCTTAGGTTTCATTTAAGTAGCCTGTGAACCCATTTTATAATGAAACAAATTAAGTCAATTAGCATTAACTGAATCTTTCTCCATTAAATTTTGATCTCATTTAAAAAAAAGATATAAATTAAACTTCTTTCTCAATTATAGTTTACTTCAATAGCCAAGCTTGTCTGTGCGCTAAATGAGTGATTTTGTAGATGAATTTCTTGACACAGCCAGCAGAAGAGCAGTGTGGAAATTAGCGTGGTAGAGGCGTGAAAAGTGATCATTTTTTCAGTGCGCGGGGAGTAAATGCAGTGCAGCAAGGAGATACTTCTTTGCCTTGCTGAAGCCGGAGCTGTTAATTTTTTCTGAAAGCCGAGCGCTTGCAAAGTACAAAGCCAGCCAGCCAGTCCTCCTCGCTCTCGTCCTGCACCTGAAAGCAACCAGAGTTTCAGACCGGGAAAAGAGAGCAAAGAAATGGTATGGGTGCATAGGTGCACAACTTATGGAGAGGAGGGAAGCTTCACATCTTTATCTTGCAACCGGCCGTCCGACGAAGTGACTTTTGGTGTGCCAAAATGATTTCCATTCTGCGCAAGCATCGTTCTTAGCAGCATAAGGTGATGATGAAAAATGAAATAAATGATTAGTAAAAATAAAATATAAATAAATGACAAACTAAGGAAAATCAGAAATATTAAATTTAAAAGCGCAAACGTGAATGAAAATTCTAAGATTTCGCAGTTGAACTAAATTTGCAGCATTTTATTATTAATTTTTTTTTCAAAGAAAAATATATTAAAATATTGAAACTAAATTTTTTTTTATTTAATTTAAATTTGTTTTAAGTAAATTTGAATAAATAAGCAAAATTAAATTAAACATAAATAAACATCTATAATTTTTAGATCTCAAGAGTAAATCATTGGTAGCGATGGAAAATAAATCGGGCCTGGCAGTCCAAGGTCTTGGGCAGCCGAGTGAGATTTCTGGTTGGTGGACCGGCCGGCGAGACAAAAGACGGAGAGCGAGAGAGGCTTCTTTCCAGCACAGCTTCCGTATCAGCACTCGGCTGAGTGGAGATACATGTCAAATGATTGCAAAATGGATGAGGCTTTTACCATTGAAATGAAGCGTGCATAATAGATGGCGGCTTTTAACATTGCTGAATTATTGAGGTCGAAAGAAGCGGCCGGTGCGCTCTCTTGGTTTTATTGAACGCGTCGAGGCACAGATTTTTTATTATTTATCAAGACGCCGCTTTTTCACACCTTCCGCGGCGTCTCTCAGAGAGAAGGAAAACAATTGTTTCGGCTTCCTTTTGAAACTCCTCATTTTCACAGTTTTAATGCACTTGTGAAATGAAATTGTGAAAAACTCTTTCCAACGGAGAACTGAGAAGAATTCCAGAAATAAAAATTACACAAAAAAAATTATGGAAAGAATTTTAGATGTGAAATTTTAATTAGAGTTAAGAAGCTAAAAGAAAAAATGAGGCAATTGAGCAGGCAGCAGTTGTTGGCGAAAAAAGCGTTTGTCGGCAAGTGGCAAAGAGGCACCGCCGGAGTGAAAAAAGAAGACGCAGAGGATGGAGCGCGCAAAAAGACCATTTGCCGGGCCGAGTGAGTGGCATTGCTGAAATAAAAGCCTCGGCCGAGCGGAGTCGGCTCGAAATGAAAACCAGTAAATCAACATTTTTGATTCGGAAATATTTGCAGCCCCAAGAGTTTCATTCCAGCTGCTCGGAGCGAAAAAGCGTCATAGGCGGTGCGACACTCTTGCATGTCCTCGACTAATTCTGCCAGGGCCTCCTTGTTGGCCTGTGTGGGATCGGAATTCTCTTTATGGCCCTCGTAAAAGTGTGTGCGAGCGCGATTGAGAAAAGTTTCTTTCATTCCACAAACACGAGGATACCAAAAGCAGAGGAAAGTCGGACAACTCGTTGATTGAAAGATTGGAAAAATCCTCTTGCTCCAATCAACCTGTGGATCTGGGGATTTTCAAACGGGTGGCTGGCTGGCCGATTCAAGTTTGTAGATTAAGTGGTTGAGGTTTTACCTGAAACAGACAGAGGAGTATGTGTAAGAAACAGTTTATTGAAGCGATTGAGATATTTAGGTGCCATTTCTTGCATCATGTCGTGTATTAAATTATTATCAATTAATCATTTAATTAAATTATTAGGGCCTAATTATAGGATTTAAAGGATTTAATTATTAAATTAAATCCTATCTAAAGACTTTTTTCCTTGGAAAATCCCCAAATTATAAAAACTTGAAGTTGAAAAAAAATCATGAAATAAAGATTAATTATATCCACCATTTAAATAAATATGTATATAAAAATGTGATGAGAGTGATTCCTTTTATAAATTTTCGTAAATTGATTGAAAATGAGCTTGTTTATTATTTACTTATTCAATTTTTTTCAACCAATATTTTTTTTAATATTGACTTCCTCCTAATGTTTAAATATATGTGATTTCAATTCTAGTCAAAAAAGATAAGATTTTTACAAATACTTGTTTAAATTTGGAGAACATAGGTGATTTAATTTATTTTAAAACAATTAATGTAGGTAATTTTAGGTAATTAATAAAACTCGATTTTCATATTGATCAGAAATTTGCAATTTGTTGTGATTTTTAGATCTTTTGTATAGGAGGCTCAATCAGTCCAAATGAAGATTTATCCACCCATATAAGCCTGATCATAAGATCAAATTTTATTAAAAAAAAAAATAATTAATAAAAAATGTAAATTATTTTCAAATTTTGGCCACCAAGGCGTTTTTTGGCTCCACGTGTACTTTTTTGTAAGCTGCGTTCTCCCCTCAAAGGTGCACGCAGAGGAAAAGGGTGTGCCCCGTCGTGAATAACGAAGATGGTGCGATGATGATAAACGCTTGAACGGCGGAGGTTACACGAAAATTAAACGCGTCCACCTTGCGGGGGATGAAAGCGAGCAGCCCTTTCTTACTCACTCACTCTGAAAGCCAAACAACTTTTTCACTCTCGACTTGCCGGCTGGGCTCTCGATAAATTTTACATTATAATAATAAAAGAGAAAGAGCGGCCGAGAGAGATCAAAGGGGACACGCCGCGCGGTGAAATAAAAAGCAAAAATAAAAAAAGAAGAAGAAGAAATTGTGGCAGGCAGTGGTTTTAGTTTTGCTACTGTTTGAAGTGTAAAAGCCTATTAATTTAATGCTGCTGGCACCCCTGCGCGCGTCCGCTCACCATTTGCTCGCGCCGCGTTTGACATTAGTGGTATGTTTAAATTAGACGAATCGCGCGCCACTGACATCGCCTTTGCCGCTTTGAGCAAGAGACTCGCTGGCTCATCCGACAGTAGTAGTGACTTCACACAGACGAAAGGCTTTTAATTCGCCTCTTTGTTTTTGGTTAATCAAATTACAATTTAAAAGAGAAGCTTGCTCTCAGATTGAACAGGAAAGGGGCAAAAATAACAAACAATTTGAAACACCGAAGTATTAAAATTCTAATTGATTTTTTTTTGTAGCATAAAATGACGATTTTAAATTACATTTTAAGTCATTAATTGTGGTTTTTAAATTTAAAATTTAATTTTGTTTCCAAGAAATTTTTATACTTTCTCGCTGTTTACAGAAATCCATGCACGTTAAATTTCAATTTGACGAAAATAATTGAGTTTAATTTATTTTTTCCTCACAGGATTGAGAAAAAGCTAAACGAATAATAAACCGCGTCAAATTTAGAGCATTTGGTATTTTTTTTCCAATAATTCATTTATGCACGCAGACTGAATTCAAAATTTCCTACATTTGAATTTTAATTGATATAGTTTCAAGCGTTTCTAAAAATTTCCTTCGATTTAAGATTAAAAAATTAATAAAGTCCTAGCAAATTTCATAAAGAATAAATTAATTTCTATTTTTAACACATGCGCCTATCAAAGATAAAATAAATTGAAAGTTAATGAATGGGAAGAATCAACAGAGAGCAGAATTGGCAAATCATGCGATTATAAAA